ATGAAATCAGTAAAAGCTTACATAGGTGTTTATTAAGTAGTGTGCTAAGAAATGTTGTTAAGGACCAGATAACGAGGCAATAGATCATAATGAGCTTGCAACTGTATCTTTCACAAATATAGCCAAATATTGGAGCAAATATCATATAGCTTGCAATAAATATTGTCTGGAGAAGGCCTTATAAGGCATAATTTATTCTGAAAACAATAATTAAATAATGATTGTGTACAAAAATTATATTGCATTCACATGTGATAGCAATTCTGACAGCATTGGGTAATGATAAAGGAGTTTAATCATATCTTGTGTAATAATTGCAGTAAAATTAACAACCAGCATTTCCAAAGTTTGCTTGATTGCATACAAAATATTAGTTGAATTTGAGGTTGATATTGTTATTATATTTTAACTACAATGTATAGGTTGGGATGTTATACTCTCCTATCTATATCTTCACTTGTAAGCTTTCGTATTGAAGCAGTTTCATTCAGTGATGTTGACCCACATGGCATTGATGTCGATGATGAAACACACTCAGAAGAGCTACTTTGACCATGGAAGCATGATTATCTTGCTCATAAATCTGAATCCTGCAATATTAGAACAGAGTACGAAGGTATTTTATAAACAAAATCATTATCTGAGTATAATCTTTTATCCAAATTTAATAATCATCCAACCGATCACTGTAAAAATAATTATACACAGTATCTCAAACTAAGATAAAATCGACAAACTTACAGGAGATATCTTCCAGTAGTTGTTTTTCAAAATATTTATTTGGTTGTCTTTTAAAAGACAATTGTTGAATGGTTTTATAAAGCTCCACTCTTCACTCTTGATGCGTCCGCCATTTTAATTTAGTTTTTTGAATACTTCATGTTGCGCAAATGAAATGGATTCACACCAAAACGAAAAATATAAACAAAGCTCGCACATGCGTAGAAGCGAAAGGAAATTGCGGTGAAGAGCGGTGGAAATTGCGGTGAAGAGCCGTGGAAATTGCGGTGAAGAGCGGTGGAAATTGCGGTGAAGAGCGGTGGAAATTGCGGTGAAGAGCGGTGGAAATTGCGGTGAAGAGCGGTGGAAATTGCGGTGAAAAGCGGTGGAAATTGCGGTGAAGAGAGCCGAAATTGCGGTGAAGAGCGGTTGAAATTTCTTATTTTTTTTGCCTGTTTTAAAGACACGGCTTCTGCGCGTGCGCCAGCCTGGGGACTCCACGTGAAGTTGATAATCCCCCAGATTGTTCAGTCTAAAAACCATGACCAGCCGACAATTTAAGAAAGAAATTCTCAATCTTTCAAGAGCACTGAGTCATGTCGTCGAGTAGAAAAGAATATTATGCTAGTAGAGACGCCTCTAAAGTGTATTTGTTGGGTTCTTTCCCTCGATGGAGAGCGTTTAAGGAGCAGCATAAATTGAGAACAGACAAGGATGTGGCGGATATGCTTCTTGACAGCTATCTTGCGATGAATCGTATAGTTTGGTAAGTATAAAATAATAAAACCTCTGACCTTTTCTGTGTGTTATTTCTTTACTTCATAATGCTTTTTATGTATGTGTTGAACTCACTTTAGCAATGCAGAGACGCAAACCGAAACGGTAATGGAATCAAGGGATATGCCGCCAAGTACACCTTCCAAATATTTTTCTTCTCCCAGTAAGAACATATGTTTTAAAGTGCTGCTCCAAAAACGTAAACATTTATTATTTTTTAAAATATTCGCATAAAACATTCGTATGAAATATTTTATAGTTAAAACCTCAACGCCAAGCGCGCACTCAATCCGCGTCCATTGTCTGCTTTGTCGGATGTTAGAACATCATATTCTATCAGGTAATTTGAAACTTATTGTGATTACTGAGTTTATAATTTGAAACCCATACATGCAAAGTTTCGCGCAGAGAGTATTACTTTTTAAATACGCAATATGTGTTTATATCTCAGGTCGGGTCAGAGTGTGATTTCTGACAGTCGAACGTTGACAGCCAAAGATGATAGTTCTGATGATGAAAGTGATGATGATAATGACAATTTTGGTGAACACACTATCCAGGCAGACCAGGTTTTGTCGGACGATTCTCTTGAGTAAGTGATGATGCAAAACCTCAATAATAATCTTTGTGACATTCCTACTGTAATGCTTATAGATTTAAAACATAAATATACACATTATATATCACTGAATATGGCATAAAATATTTCGTCCAATAATATCTCTTACTGCCATTTTACTGTAGTGTATGTCCCCCGGGTTTTGACGTGCCATTACTGGATGACTTGCTCAATGTGACAATCCGTGGACATGATGGAGATGAGCCCACAGAAGATGTTGGAACCCAACAACAACAACAGCAGCAACATAAGACGACTCAACCAGAATACATCTCTACTGTGGAAGAAGTCAGTCCTGAAGATGCAATCAAGAAGGAAAAGTGTATTGTGTTTACAGACACTCTTATAGCTTTGATAACATCATTACATGGGAGTGTTTGTAAACGACAAGGATGTGGCCGTGTGTTGAGCTATAAGAAAACATATGTTGGAACATGCCTGGTCGTATCCTGGGGGTGTAGGTCTGGTCATGTTGGAGGCAGATGGGCAGCTCAACCCTCTTGCAACAAGATTAAAGCAGGCAACCTCGTGCTTGCTTCTGCTTTGTTGTTGTCTGGCAATTCCTACGCCAAGGTGGGGTTGATGTTCAACTTCTGTAATCTGCAGTATTTCTCATCAATATTATTCAATCAGTATCAGAAGTTGTACATCATCCCTGCCATTAATGACTACTGGGAAGAACACAAACAGAAATGTTGGAAAGAAAGAGAGAACAAAGAGGTTATATTGAGTGGTGATGGAAGGAATGACTCGCCTGGCCATAGTGCACAATATTGTACTTACAGCTTGGCTGATACCAATGATCGTGCCATACTGCAAATGAATGTGGTTGATGTGAGAGAAGCTGCTGGTAAGAGCAATAATATGAAGAGGATTGGGTTTGAAAGAGGGATGGACACACTGCTTGCATCACCAATAGTTATGAAGGAGGTGGTAACTGATGGTCATATTGAAATTGCTGCATTGATGAGTACCGGTAAGTATCTACATTATAACAATATGGCAATTCCTGAAACTCTAATAGTTCAACCTGTTATAATCAATATTGTCAGACTTTCAATAATTTAACAACTTCATTTGCAGATTGATTACAATGTTATATAATTAATTGTGTTTACCCTTTAAAAGACAGTAAGGGAATATTTATAACATGCATTTGTTTATTAATTAAGCATTATTGTATTTTAGAAAGGGAAGAGAAATATAAGGAGGTCACACATCAGAATGATGTGTGGCATGGAGCAAAGAACATTGCAAAGAAAATCACTACTGTAAGTGTTGAAGATATCAACCAGCAATTAGTAAAAAACTTTCTTTATTTAGAATTGATTTTATTCTTTAGGCTGCTAAATCTAAAGACAATGCAGATTTGACCTTGTGGGCACCATCAATAAGAACCATTTTTGGTATTGTTCAAAAACATGTGCTAATGACTCAAAAAATCTCAAAGTAAGATTCACATTGAAGTACTACTGGTTTTTGCAGCAATACTTATCTAGTTCGTGCAAACTGTACATACATGTGTTAATATGTAGTCACTTTATGTTGTATTTTTTATATTTTTTTAATAGGATAAGTGGATTGGTATTTTACACCATGTTGTTGATGAGCATGAGTGGGTGTTGGAGGAAGGTGTAAATGGTGGAAAATGTGAACATGATCCTCTTAATGAAAGTGAGAGAAAGAAGTCATGGCTTAAGAAAGAGTCTTCTGCCCATAAAGCACTGGCAAAGATCATTCTGGACACTCGCTTTTTAAACACTTTGGTGTATTATGTTAACTTCAGGTAACAAATGAGATTGGATATTTGAAAATTTCAGATAAGTTATATCATCTCAAAGTTTGAAATATTTTTTAGGCACACAGGATTTTTAGAGTCCTTTCATATGTAATTTTGATGTATGCTCCAAAGCGCCATGCCTATTCGTAAGTATATGACATATTATTACAAAGGTAACAGCTAATAAAACTCCTATCATGATAAAACTCTTATAGAAACCAGCTTGCTGCCTTGGACTTTAACCACCACAGAGGCAACTACAGCTGATGGGAAAGAAAGGTACTGGTATTGAAATTTTTGCCTTGGTGTTCCCATCCTAAGTGTGAACAACTTTTCAGGTCCTGTGCATTCTTATAGTGTAATGGTACTCATATTGTATGGAATTGTAAAGTTTTTTTTTATTAGGTACGGTCGGAAGTTCAGTAAGCGTACACAACAGTGGTGCCGTGTTCTTGTACCAAAACAATTTAGTTACATTCCTGAACTGATGCAGAAGGTTTTTATAAAGAGGATCACATCAGAAGGGAATGTAAACAAAAGACTTGGTATTCCAAGTGATGATCCTAGACAAATTGCACCCAATATTGCCCCTGTTCCTCCTCCATCAGTACAGACACTTGTCGACACACATAAAACAAGATTTTAATGGTTGTGTGTAAAATCAAGTTACTTTGGGTTGGTGGAGCTCATTAGCCATGGTAGGCAGTTCACCTAAGAGAAGGAAAACTCTAATTTCAAACCCCCAGACCCTAGGTCAGGCTGTCCATGTCGGAATCATTGATGTTATCATTATTTCATTTGTGTTTCCTAGGCATGCTGACGAGCTCTGATATAGAGCGAAACAGCCATAAATTTAAGAGCCCATTATCAATGAAATATGACACATAATATCTTAAATGGAATGTTATATATATAGGGTGTCCCAAAAAACTAAACACTTTGAAATTGGAAAATTAGCATTTAGGTTGATGCTAATCATGCACATGGACAATTACAACAACTAAATCAGCAGTACAATGTATGAAGACTAAAATGAAAAATTTACCCAGCTATATATTTTATTACCTTGCTGGCTCAGCCCAATTCTAAAAATGTTCACTTGCATTGTATAAATATAATATAATATATAATAATATACTTTATGTTTTTGAGCATTAATATTTTTTGGGCCTGCTATAACATCAGACCAAAAACATATTTATGCCCACAAACATCGATTGTGGTTTATTTTGGTCTACTTTTTGGGGGCACCATTTATACTTTAAGTGCTAAATTATCTAAACACATGCAGGCAAATATCCCCTGTACTGTCCATTAGGTGAAGGATAACGGTTACGAATAGCAACCACACAACAGCTTGGTACTACTCTCCTATTTCCTCTTCCTAATCTACCATGTTGCCATAGAACATACTGTCTATATGCAGCATGGCGAAAGTTTTCATTGTTCCTGACATTGTTCAACACCAAAACATCTTCTCTGTATCGCATTGAGATCTCCAAAACATTCCCATCAAGGATTAGTTGACTGAAAAGATTTGTTCTTGAGATACAAGGACGTCTTGATCGGGTGCAGCATTTGTTCTCTTCTTGAGTGGGCATAATAATGCAGCACCCACACTTGCACCAATCTGGAGCATCATTATCAGGTTCTGGGTTTGGTGGTTGGGGTTCATTTCCGCTCACAAGCTCACCATTAACAATGTCAGCAAATGCTGCTGGCTGTCTTCTTAGCAATTCAAGAGCAAGCCTTCTCAGGTTGTCTATATTCATTGCCTCAACTAGATCCTGAAATCAGCATAAGAGTAAAATATAAGATGTGCTGCATGTATTATTATGTTTTATTGTTTTTACACAAAGGCTTTTAAGAATAATTGTATGAAATCAAGTGTTGACAAAGGCTCATCTTACCACTAAATGCTGCTCATGATCTGCTTGATTTTCAGCAATATTTGGCTCTTCTAACAAACGCCCTCTCCCGCTACCTCTACCACGACCTCTTCCACTACCTCCCGTTCCACGTCTCTGTGAAGCAGTACCTTGCCCTCTTCCCTGACCTCTTGCTCTCCCCCTTGGACGACCTCTTCCCCTACCACGTCCTCTCTTTTCAATCTGCAGCTGCTGCTCGCCCTCATTCTCACTCTCCTCTATAGTGAACTCAGAGTCCTAGATAATTGCAAATCACAAAGTGGAAAAATATTTCCACAATGAAACCAGCCCTCTTGGCTCTCTCCCACCCATATATTTAAAGAATGACATAATCTTACTTACACTCTCATCACTATCGCTTTCTTGAACAAGTCGGTTGTTCATGCAACAGCCAAAGTCTTCGACATGACACGCGCTCGAACACAAGCTATTGATGCTTCTGCACGGACAGAAATTCCGTCCTTTTTCACGAAGACAGTGCCCTCTACATTTGCACACTGTGATTTTGTCACGGTTAGGCATAGCCGCTGCGTTTTCCAAAACATTAGCTTCGAAATCTTCAAGCGAAAAGCTTCCTTCAATTGCTCCTGCCATGATTGTGACCACCCTGGTATGAATGAGTTTTCGACGGCGGAAAGATACCGCACAGTATATTTCATTATTAAAGACATTACTAACACTTCCAAGGCTATCAAGTCCCAAATATAAACAAACCAAAAGCGAACCGATTAGAACTCGCGCCTTTGTATGACAACTTCGGCCGCCGCTCCAGCTGTTAATCTACGATTTCAAAGCGGCTTTTCATCCACTGTTGTAAAGTGTTTCCGTAAAATGTTGTATTTGCTTATTTTTGGTTTTTTCTATAGTTTTTTTCCGCAAATATATTTTTGAAAGAAGCGTCGCTCCTCTCTTTTTTTGTTAATAAATCATTGCGAATATATGTTATACTTCATGTTGTAGAATCATTGCGGATCAAAACAAAAAATGTAAACAAAGCTCGCACATGCGCAGAAGCCGCTGTAACCTGTCTTTATACTTTTTATAAAGCATGCACAATACAAAAAAAAAAAAATTACGCATATAAACTTAGATATAAACTAGAGAAAACTACTTTATCTTATATCTTTATCTCCAAGGACTACCACGAACACACATTCGCTGCGAGCAAGCCTTTACGTTTCTCCTTCCCCATCTTTCGGCGCCATAGTTCGTTCTGAAATCAAATAAGCAAGGAAAAACTAAATTAAAGTAACCGCTCTCTTGCATTTGACATTTTCAACCGGAATATACAAGATGAAGCAGTAAAAATCGGCAGGAATATCACCACGTACCTAAGCAAGACTTCCAACTTTTCCCGAACTTCTTCGAGACTGCAAGTGCAAAGACTGAGTTTCGTCTAGATTGTAGGTTCAACTGCGTTTTATTACTTCAAAGACAATGTTTTAAACCGTGGTTTTCAAACAGGAGGCCTGGTAAATTTCAAAATTTTCTTGGAGGAGGAGATGCCCCCCCCACATCTTCGTTCCCAGGTTTTTGGAGTGCAGGAGGTGCCCTCCCCCTTGACAGTGGTCTATCCCCGCGGCCCTGACCATGAGCCTATTACGTGCTAATCCCAATGCCAGATATTTCCTATTTATTACGTAAATTACGTAATGATTCCACAGCCATCTTTTTAAAATTCTTTTACGACAGTGTTCTGGGAATCGAACCCAGAAGCCACAAACGCGTTTTTATCACTATCAAACAACACGTTTTGGTTTGGCCCCAGGCCTGGACACTCTTTTTTAAAGCCAAACGAAAAGGAGGGAAACCGGAGTGCCCGGTGAAAAACCCTCCAAAGGTAACCTGAATTTCAGGTTACCTGACCGGCGGTCCGAATTTGGTATTTTTATTAGAAATCGTTCGCAATCACATGCACTTCAGTTTTTATCTATAATTCATCGTTTCAGTTCCGCTCATTCAAACCGAGTCCCAGGAATTGCCACGCAATTGTTGATCCTCGTTAATTCGATTCTTTTGGTGGTCTAACCTGCGGAGCGCGCGCATATTTAGAGCGCGCAAAACATCATGTTCTTAGACATTCAACTGCGCTTTGTCCGACAATGGCAACGAAAATTATTTCCGAATTATTCAAATGTTAATTTTATGATAAAAAAATACTTCGTATTCACGACTTGCATGCTTTTTCATATCAAACTGATGTAGACAATAACACTTTTCTTCTACCCCTTTTTTAAGACATGCCTCATGCACTGTTTTTATTTTTATTTTATACGTTCTGGATTACGGTTGACCGAATATGAAGGAAATAAACGTAATCGGGCTGAACATGCAACTTACTCAATATAGCTAATCAATAATGTCGCCTTACCTTTAAATTTTCGTAACGTATAATTACCTTTGGTAAACAATGTATCGAATTTCACTTGCTTCTTTGCTCCACTCCAAACAGTTATGTTCTTCTTCAACAGCATCTCGACGGTTGGGCGTGTAAGAAATTAAACAACATAGTAAGTGTGTCAAAATGCAAAGGGTTTTCTTTAAAGGGTTGGCTTTTCAGGGAAGAGAGTACTATACAATATTAAACCTACAGTTTAAACATTATACCTCGAGATACCCCCAACTATAAGTCCAGTTATCATGCAATGCAATATGGGAGGTATATTTTTCCTCTTATACAAATTTCATCAAGTTAGTCAAAGTGATTAGATACGTTTATTTCCTTCATGTTCGGGATTAATCGGATTTTTCAAAGCTTACAACTGCAAAAAACCAAAAAATTAATTACGAACAAGGGAAAAAAAGAGTACTAGTGTCTAAACAGCAAAGCATTCATTTTTTTTCATTTCAAACTTCAAAATTCCATGCTAAGGTATAATCATTGTTGCCACTGACGGACGGTCCTTCGAAACGCATTATAACAGGCTGAACAGAGAACTTATATAATCATATAAGTACTCGCGATTACCTTCGTATTAATCTAAAATTAGGCTAATACGAATTCAATATTTCTCTAACAAATTGCATTTTGTTAGTTTCTTTTGAACGCTTTAAACCATCATGCATACGCAGACGCTACGTCGTTGGATTTCACACGTATTCACACAAGTGACAAAATTAGGAATTTTTTATCGAGAAAACTCGAAAAATGCCCTCATAAGAGCTGTGAGAAATTTCCTGTTATCATGCATAGTCGAAAAGATTGAAATGTCACTTGATGTGTGAATATACTAGGTTAGACCACCAGGAGGATCCAATGCCATGCAGCATGCACTAATCATGCATACCTATAGTATATACCTCAACCAGCTTCCACTTGATCCTGCGACGAACCGTCTGATCCTGCGACGATCCTCCAACATCTAATTCATCACTGATCCTGCGACGATCCTCCAACATCTAATTCATCACTGATCCTGCGACGCTCCTCCAACATCTAATTCATCACTGATCCTGCGACGCTCCTCCAACATCTAATTCATCACTGATCCTGCGACGCTCCTCCAACATCTAATTCATCCTGCGCATCCTGGTCCTGCGACGATCCGTCTGGTCCAGCAACGATCCTTTAACATCTGATCCTGCAACGATACTTTAGAACAAAGATATGATATTAATTTCCAAGTCACAAATATCACTTAGATACCAGTATCATACCATACCATACCACACCATACCATACCACACCATACCATACCACACCATACCATACCACACCATACCATACCACACCATCTGATCCTGAGACGATCCTTCATCATCAGATCCTGCGACGATCCTTCAACATCTGATCCTGCAACGATACTTTATCAAAATGATATGACATTAATTTTCAAGTCACAAATATCACTTAGGTAGCAATATCATACCATACCATACCATACTATCTGATCCTGCGACGATTCTTGAACATCTGATGCTGCGATAATCCTCCTGATCCTGCGACGATCGTCATCATCTGACAACAAAAGTATGATATGAATAATTTCCAAGAGAGAAATGTCACTTATGTATAAAGCACTCAGGATAAATTATATCGAACCTCCAACACTCCAACGTCAGTCACTCGTGGCCTTCGCATTGCGCACGCGAATACAAAATGTCATGCACGTTTTAATACAAAATGTCATGCACGTTTGAATACAAAATGTCATGCACGTTTGAATACAAAATGTCATGCACGTTTTAAAACAAAATGTCATGCACGTTTTAATACAAAATATCATGCACGTTTTAATACAAAATATCATGCACGTTTGAATACAAAATGTCATGCACGTTTGAATACAAAATGTCATGCACGTTTGAGTACAAAATTTCATGCAAGTTTTAATACAAAATTTCATGCACGTTTTAGTACAAAATGTCATCCACGTTTTAATATAAAATGTCATGCACGTTTTAATACAAAATGTCATGCGCGTTTTAAAACAAAATGTCATGCACGTTTTGGTACAAAGAAAACAAGAACACTGGACTATCATCTCCTTCCAGAAATACATATTTCATGTTTTTATGTTTTAGGCGCTCTCTGAGCGATATTTTTGTCCGGACTATATAGTCGTCAAGATGGAGAAAACACAAGTGATTGGGGCCCCAGAATCACTTGTATTCACTCCGCGTGCGCTTGATACGACCAGACTTCATGCAAAAATCATGCACAGGCGGAAAACTTATAATGAAGGAGGTAAACAGAAGAGTGTTCAGTTTATATCTTAGTCAAAAAAGCCAAATTCCATGCAATTTTTACTCATGCATATTGTCGAAATCGAGTTTTGTATTTGCGTGCATAAATGTCCCAAGGCATGTCCAACATCTCTTTACGATTCTTTCGTTCTACAAAAACAGAACTTCGGTAAAACAAAAGGACAGGGAAGTCTAGCATAGTACAATCATATACGAATACAAATAATTATATAGGCACTGAGTTTCATCTTTCCCTTTGAAAACGAGCATTCCCTTTGCCTTTGGGCAACCCTGTCCGAAAAACGAATAGGCCAGCCGGGAAAGTTAGTTACGGTCATAAACTTCGAATTCCTTTCTATATATCAAAACTATTCTAGTTTCGTCCACCTTCACTGTCCGTGAACAAAGTGCAAAGGTGTTTTTTCAAGTCAAATGCAAAATGCAAAATACACATATATTAATAGAACAATACCTATTATTCGCTGCGAGCAAGCCTTTACGTTTCTCCTTCCCCATCTTTCGGCGCCGTAGTTCGTTCTGAAATCAAATAAGCAAGGAAAAACTAAATTAAAGTAACAGCTCACTTGCATTGGACATTTTCAATCGAAATATACAAGATAAAGCAGTAATAATCGGCAAGAATATGGCTCCACTCGCTCACGTCTTCCCACGCTATTCAAATCAACACAGCGATCAGTCAATTCATTTACAAATTCAAAGAAAAAGCCAACAGCTGTTCGAACTAACTATCACCATGTACCTGAGCAAGACTCTTCCAACTTTTCCTGAACTTCTTCGACTGATGCTTCTTTTTCGAGACTGCAAAGACTGAGTTTCGTCTAGATTCAACCGCCTTTTATTATTTCAACGACAAAGAAAATTCCAACGGACAATGAACGCATTTACAACAATAGATAATCAACTAACTCATGCCAGATTTGCCCAGAATACATATAAGTTAGCCAAATAAATATGTTTTGCATATTTCTATTGTCCGTTGTAAGTGATTAGCAAAATTCCGCTCCGTGAAGCGATTAATGGCTATTACTCTTAGCTTGATATAAAAGCCTTCTCTTTTCGCGTTAATCTTTTCAAACTAAACTAAAACAACTTTTTTCTCGGTTCCTGGTAGCAATTTCTTTTAGCCATTTTTTTTTACTTTAATATAGTCTAAACAGAAACGCTGCTTTAATATTATAATATAGTTTAGCTTTCTATCCAGGGCCCGGTTAGGGGCTGGTTGTATAAAACTCTTAACAATAGAATTTTGAAGCCCACTCTAGGGTGTGATACACCTGGTCCAGCCTATGGTTGGCCTGGTGGTGACAGATCTTTGTGGTCAAATCCACAAAAAAATTAGAAAGAATTGCGATAGTGAAGACCTGTTGTTTTACTTCTTAAGTCAAATTACATGAATAAACATCTAAAGAGGCATGTTAAGTTCTGTTGCACCATGAGGATACATCAGTGATATTATATGTCTAAAAGTTGTTTTTCTACAGATTGTAAATTTGTTTGCCATTCTTTCAGCTTTTGTCGCAATATTCTCCATTGGTTTCTTTGGAATGTTCTGTGCGCTGCAGAACTACATTAGGTACAGAACAAAACAAATATTTTGTAAAGCAAACAACACATTTATAATTATATATCTGCAGACATACACAGCTTAGTAGCTATATCTATACATGTGGATATATTTATTTATGAGAAGCATAGGTATTTAGTGATCAATTGAAAAAAGTGTTACAAATTACCTTGTAATAATTTGTTTTTCAATTTGATCTATCCTCACATGAGCAAGCCTTGTCTTCAATACTAAAAAAGAGCGTATGTATGATGTATGATGAAAGATTTAAAAATATTTTCTGATTGAAAAACAAGCATACCATTAATTACAAAACTTTCCACATCATCAACATTAATGTCCAACTTTTTGGATAATTCCAAATGTTATTTCACCATGTTCATTGACCAATGTGACAAAACTGAGAATTCGCATTTTCTTAAATTTCTTTCATGATTCAAACCTAATCCCAAAAATGATCACATTCAACATTACAGAAAATATGTGTAAATATAAAAAACAAGAATACCTGTAGACATCAAAAAGTTGGAGTTATCTTCATAAAAACTTCATATAATCCTGAATATTACCACTCACAAATATTTCTAGTATCTGAAATTATATCAAATGAAACCTTATATTGCTTTTATCTAAAATTCTTGAGACGGCCGATGAAAGGACAGGTCACTGTCTTTACTATATATTTCATAAGTAAATATCACTTATAATCACAGAAAAGAATTATAATACCTGGTATATCAACTCCCCTTTCAGACTTTTTACAGGACCAAGTTCTAGCAAATGGTCCATGATCCAAACATTTGGTCGGTCAATAAAAGATACAATACATTTTATTGCATCATCCTTTGCTTCTACATTGCTATCCTCAGGATATGTTTTCAATAATTCTATCATCACCAAAGCAGCGTTGTCCCTATGGGATAATAATTGTTACCATAACCATGATGTTATTTTTCTAATTACCATGTGAACATTAACACATATTCTGAGAAAATAAAATTTTTTATTGTTTACATTTGCTGGAATTTTGAGGAAGAAAATCCAAAAACAAAACGGGATCTAACAAGACCTGATTCACATGTGACTAAAAATTATAAAATTTGCTTAAACGTTTTTTGGTCATTGTTTATTAAATGAGAAGAAAGCGTTTTGGCATATTATAAATACAAGTGTTTGAAGGAATTTTAAGAAAAAAATTGAAAACTGAAGGAGGAACCACACAAATCCTTGGTTAAAACATCATGAAATATTTTTTTAGGCAGTTGTTATACCATAGTAACCACACTATTATATTATAGTAATAATTATGCTATTTACCTTTGTTTGTTTGCAACAAATGAGTCATGAAGCAGGCGATAAATTTTTCTAGATTTCTCCACATCACTCCATTGAGCTAGCCAGATTTTCACCTAATAAGAATAATTAAATAAACCATTGAAGTTTTAAGTATATATTAGGAAAAAAACATTGATTTTAGATTTTTTCATTTAATTTAATTTAATCACCCACTTGATCAATATCTGTGTTAACCAATTCAAGAACACCAGAGTTGGCAGATAACTCTAGCTGATGGCAATACACATTATATCTTATTGGATCCATCTTGTTCAAACCACAAAACAAAAGGTTCATTCTACAATTAAATTAATATTATTTTATATTAAAACATATTCAAAGAGATTGCTACTGTCTTAAACACAAGATTTAAGACCAACTGCCACTTTGCTACTACCAATTTAAAATACTGTATGTTAATATAATTATTTCTGCACTTGAACATTTGAAATGATTGATAAGACCTACAATCTATGTCTTAGTTCAGCATGATATGTCATTTCAACCAAACATTCCAAAAAGGCACAAATGACTTCATCACGTTTTTCGGTAAGTGCAAATATTAATGATAACAAGCTGTTGAGGAAACCTTCAATCTCTAAAAAAAGATAAATAGTGAAAAATTAAAACATAATGAGCAACCTAAGATAACTAGATGTTAAAATACTATTACCTGCCTCACTGCATGTCTTTATCACATCAATGCAAACAGAAAATATTTCTGAAAGATTTTCACTTAAATCCTCTGGACCATCATCTTCTATTGTTGCACCGTTAGATTTAAGATAAGCTCGAAGTTCACCAACCTAATAGACATTAAGGTGAGGGTAAATTAATTAAGTTTTGTGGCACTTCACTCTGTATCAAGCAGGCATTACCATCCTACATAAATACACACACTATAAATCACCAGCATCGCAAAAGCTTATGTTTAATTCTTGCCTGTGGACCTACAACAAAGTTAGCACAATTTTTTTAACTGCACCTCGCTTGAATTTCAGATGGGCATGAATTGAACTGGAAATTAAGATCCTTCAACACTAATTGGTATCCATATATAATTATTATCCATATAATATAGATTTTACTATCCTGTCTTTCCATTTATATAATTATGTATATTGCATGCAAATCAAAATATAGAGTGCTCCAAGCTCATTAAAGTAGAAGAGAACATATAAATTTTAAAACATTAAAATCCTGAGATATCTGAATGTGGGAGTCGATTGTAAGTTATGGTGATGACTTACTTTTAAAATAGATACAAGCAAAACTCATGACCGAAACCAATATAAAACCATGCGAAACTACAGGAGTAAAATCTTACCTGTTCTCGTACAGCTATGCCATGAAATACAGGCAACACAGTATCCATGTGTATTTCTCTTCTTTCAAGTGTTTTTGCACAGAATAAATAGTAAATTTAGATTAAAAATAATACAGAAATACAATCTGTAATACAAAATGTCTTCGCTCTTTCAAAATCAACACGTTTCTCTATCCCAGATGAGCCCGTGTTTAGAACGGATGTTTGTATTGTACGTCATGTTGCACATATATACACATTAAATAAATTGTTTTAGCAAAATATTAGTTCTTTCAAGAAAATATAGCTTTATAAATGACATTGCTAGATTGCCAAGCCAGAAAACGTGGCCTGGACATGACAACTGGTCTTATTTTGAATGCATTTTTGTGCATAATAATTGCAATCGTAAATTTAATTTTTTGCAAACATGTATCACTTTACAAGAAGTGAATGAATAATTCGCTTGATTGAGAAATTAGGACACAGCGGTAATTCAATTGTTTTTATTCTCTTGACTTGTTTTCACGCGACTTGATGATTTTATTAGAGCCACGTTGGATTTAGTCTAAAATGTTTCAGGTAGTTACGTAAAAATAACGTTTCAAAAAAGGACAATCTTGCGGAATTTTTTCCCGTGTTAAATTAAAAGTCAACATCATATTCAGCCCAGTTTAATTGCATTATCTTGGGGAGCATTTGAAGAGTGCGCTGCTCGCGGAAACCACTTTTAAATGATGTTAAAACTTCATCACAGTTCAGATGAGAAGGGATCATCTAGCTCGCAGATGACAGCATCGTTGCGTTCTAATATTCTAGGAATTGTTTTCTTGTAAAATTCATTGAGGATGTTTGCTGTTGATGCATCAAGACTTGTCAAAGATTTCTAGAGAGAATAATATTAAAGTTTTCACATAAGATTAAATACTTTTAAAACACAAGAATACGAAACGACTTATAGGAATATTTCCTACGAGACTAACCTGAAACCGATCATTACCAGATTTCAACAAGGAAACAAGAGCCATCTCTGCGGCAAATTTCAATGATGTGTTTTTTTCTTTCGATAAAGGAAGTAATCCAGAAATGGTAGATTTAAGAAATGATACTGGTATGTCATGTATCTTCTCGGAAATATAGTAGATGGCGTCACAAGTCAAAACTTGAATATCCAAAGATGAATGTTGTATTCCCTACACATAAGAAATATAGTGAAAAAAAATAAGAATGGTATTCCACCATAACCCACCGTTAACCTTTGTATGAAATGATTTATTTGCAAGATCAATGATTTGTACTAGACCTTAGTTATTGATGGAATAATCTCCTCAGGAAAATCTCTTTCTTTTACACAGTTGACAGCTGCGTAGCCCAAGCATTTTATTGCTGTTTTACAAATGGGAATCTAATAACAGATAGATCATGTATGATCTCAATATTTTCTTCAAACATAGATATAAATACAAGGATCACGAAGACAATTTCATGGATTAAATCAGTCTTCTTACCCGGTCGTTTGAAGAGAGTGTGTTTGTCAGTTGAAGTAAAGTTTCGAATAAATTAAGAAAAATCAATCTTTCACAGCAATCATAAAACAACGCAGATATTGTTAGACATCGACCATGACGTAATGTCCACTCAACCGTTGAATCGCTCACTTGAAAATAAATTTGTAGTCATTTACAATAAAGATCACGGTAAACTGTGATCAGTTGAAATCTGTGCTACGAGATCAAAGCATACCTAAAATATCAGTTTTCACCAAACTGGTTAACTCGTCATCAGGAGTAATTCTTGCCAAAGCCCCAAGACACCCAGCAGAAGCAATACGAATAGTTTCCTTCATAAAAAACACAAATGTTAAAACACTTGGACGACATGATAGCAGTTTACAGTAAATGGTATTTAATAAACCAAGTTGGTAATATTGAACATACCTCTGCATGACTTTGGAACGAAAGCAAGGTTTGTGTTAAATTTTGCCGAACATTGTCTCCCATCTTATTACCAACACTGAACAGAATTCCACGCAATGCCTGTTCTATAGTTTCTCTATATTAAAGATCGGTGTTTTAGCAAAATTTAGCGTTTTTAGTTTTGTGATTGCCATCATACAAATATGGAAAATCAGTAAAGTCGGCAAACCTGATTTGATTATCTTCTGTATTTTTTATTCCATTGTGCAGTTCAGTAAATAGAGGATCAACTCGGGAATGCAGTTTAACTAAATGTTGTAAAGCTGTCGACGACTGTTCACGGACTATTTTGTTTGGATCATTTAACGCCTTTATGAAAGTTGTTTGCAGCTGGGGTAAGAAAGGTTTTAAGACAATTCCTACCTGGGAATGAAACAATTAAATCAATATAGCATCTCGTTAAAATGTATGAAAGTAATGGAAGTTATAAGCTGTATATAATTTGTTATAACCAAGTTATAAAAAATGACGTTAATATTTACCTTGACTAAAAGCAATCCCAAGGTTCTGAAGTACAGCACTTTAACATTCCAGCTGAAACGGTCAAGATGCGTATTACGGTCCAGTAATACTGACGACTGAAGGTTTAAGGGCCAATGCTGATGTCAGTTTTATAACCTGACCCAGTCCTTCAGCCGCGTCTTGTTTAACATCAGGAGCCCCATTGAGAATTCCTTCCCGAAATATCGGCAGTAAAGGGGTAATGCCCTGAAAGAATATTTTGAACAAGATAATCGTTGTAAATGTATTGGTGAAAGTCCACCTAGCATGAACATCTAATGTAATGCCTTAAAGGCTTATTGAGCAATACGTTTCAAATTACCTTGGGCTTCGGAAGACAAAAGCCAGGAAGTTCATAATTATCCTCTAGATCATCAGATATATATCTGATAGCTCGACGAACATGAGGAATGTGTTGTATTTGTTCCGGTGGACCAAGTCTCTAAATGAATAACATGGAAACATTCTCATATTGATTCAATTCGCCTGAAACAAATTATTTATTGTCGTTTTCGTGAATTAACCTTTGTTACGGCGTTTAAAGCATTCCAACTGATCTCAACAACTTCATGGTCCGAATCGTTGAATCGTGATATGATAGAATGAAGCAACGCAGGAGTGTATTGCGATAGATCTGCCTTGGTTGACGTACAATATGAATGTAACAGATTTAGAGCAGCCTACAAGAGGAGTACAAGAGGATAATGAGTAACATATAGGCTGCTGTCATTTCCGGTATAAAACTTTACCTTTCTTATCGAAATTGTTTCATCTTTGCAATATTTCATCAAAACATCCAACACAATTTGAGTTCCTGAATCATTTCGAATTGCCAATATCAGTGTTCGAGAGTTCTCCAAATTCTAACAACATCAACGAAGTGGATGTGAGGTATACTTTGAGAATGATCTGATAACGAAGTTTTAAAAGAAAAACCCAAATAGGGCACCACAGGGCTTTAATTCAAATGAACTTAAATATTTCCTAACGCTTGAGATAATTGCGTTGAGAGTAATTTCTTATCATTAGGTAATCTTTTTTTCAGTTGATTGCTTTCATTATTTAGGAACAACTGCGATATTGGCGATGCTCTTAACTAAGTTTTGGCTGGTTGCAATTGTACTCACCTGGGACTGTTGATCAGGAGATGAAACATGGCTGATTGATCGTAAAAGAGCAGGAAGGATGTCAGACAAATGATCAGTTAAAGCGTCTCCTGCAACAGACGACATGGACGCCAAGGCTTGGGTATTCACAGGTGCGGCGATAAGCTGCAATGAACAAAAAGGAACCTATGAAATCTGATAACTCTGTAAAATTACCCAATCACTACGCAGTGGTAGTGGAAGTCGTCTCCGAACAGTGGCGAGGGCAAGTGTGCTCCAGATTAGAACAAGAATTACTATCGTGGTCTCGTGGTATAACAAATTGATTTACTGATATTGAAGATGGTTTCATGAAAGACGTATGTACCTGAGGAATGATAAACGGTAGAACCTCTTTACTTCGAACTGACATGATCTGGCGAAGTCCATCCAAAGTGTTCTCATGTTGATCAGGATCAATCTAATAAGTTCGTAGAATATTTTAAAATTGAACCAAACTATGACACGATCAAATCCAGAGCTTACCAGTTTCACAAGAAGAATAGGAATAATGTCGTTGATCGCTTTGACTCCGATTGTTTTGTACAGATTATTGAACGTTTGAGCAGCACAGCTTCTGACCTCTGCCAGTGGATCACACAATGCATTGCGAACTGTGGGGATAACCGAATCCACATACAACAAAACCTAAGAGAGTTAAAATCATGAAACACTTCTGATATTCCCGCTGTTATGAAAACAAAAATTAATTCCGAGTGTTATACACTATAGCACACCAGTACATTCATTTTCATACTAAATAATTTTCCCTTTTCGGTGTAAAAGCAAGTGAAGTCTCAGTTGTACCTGTTCTCTGCTTGTTGAGCCAATGATCTCACTCAGACCAATGCAAACTCCTTGTCGCTCAACGGCTTCATTGCTTTCCAACCCTCGCTCTAAAATCGGTATAATTTCAGGCAATATCCTCTCTCCCAGCTTGCGTACAAGATCTCCCAGTGTTCGAGCAGCGATCTAATAGGAAAACAAAAAATAAACATTTTCGTCGCATTGGATCAAATATTATTACTTTGATTACGATGTTTATCTATCCTTATTTTTGCACAAGATTTCGAGCTTGTCATGTCACAATTAAAAACTCGACATCAAACACCAACCTGTCGTTTATCCAGACTAGTGCTGGCTAAACAGCCCAGTAGTAATGAAAACAAAGTTGATAAGATTTCTCTCAAGACTCGGGGTGTATTGGGTACGACAACTTTCCACACATGAAGAGCAGCTTGACGGACTGGTAACGAGACATCAGAGCGACCCATGTACAGCCCTGATAACACTCGATTACGTCTCTCATATCCCAAACAGTCTATGATCGCCTGAGAAAGAAGAAACGTTGAGCGAAATCATTGAACTATACGCAAAATTGGGGGAATGGAAAGGGGAGTTGTAGATTACTTTTCTTCAAATGCGTAGTCTAACCCACCTGATTTGAATGGGAGGTTCCAAAGTTATCATCTTCCTCTCCTTCTGTCGTCATCTTGCCTGAAACACCCGATATCTTATACAACAAATCTCCCATTAACTGGATGGAAGATATACGTATCCTCCAATTATCATCAAACAATCCTTGTTCTAACTGAGGTAAGAATACCTCAATGGCTGTCGTTGCATACTGACTGACGATCCTTTGACCAGCCTTAAGTGAAGTACCACGTACGAACTCTGATTCATCTGAAAGTCCCTGTGTATAAAAATAAAACACATTTCTAACATCCTAAAACATGAGTAATAAATGGTTCAAACGCTTTTTTAGAAATAGTAGATATACCTTGAGTATAGAAGGAATGATATCTCCAACAAAAGGTGTAAATTCTGTGCCAAACGTCGACGGCAGATAAAGATAGAGCATTAAATATCCTTCTTTGATATGTGCTGCAATATCAGCCCTCTCTGTTGCAGAGATCACATCTGGCATCAACTGTGAAAGACGTTCAAAACCCAAACCGCACAACACCTCACTCAAACCTGAAAAGACAGGTTAGAGCTTTATGATAAAAACTTCGCGTTGTGACGCTGTTTCCGGACATAGTAGTACAACGTTATTTTAAAGGTCTTTTCTGAAATCTGCAGTCTGTGTACTAAGAAGCTAGGAAAACTAACCTTGTGCCGCACCAGAGCGATCAACACTACTTGTTTCAGATATCAAAGTCTCCATCAACCATGGCAGAAGATCTGAACAATTTCCTTCTCCCAGTTCTTTGACAAGAGCCCCAAGAGCACGTGCTGACACAGCGCGAACCTGGGGGGGCAGAGTTATTTGGTTAAACAAGAACTCTTTCTAAAGTTGATTGGATTACAAGAAGTAAACCTACCTCAGGGACTGGGTCTAATAAAGCTTGCTTAAGACCTGGCATTACTGAAGACAGATATGGATTAAGATCCTAAAAAATATGAACGATTTAAAGCTTAGACATCCTGTTTCCTTTTTTGAAACCCGAAAATTTCTAAATACATTAGACTTTGAATATCTCGTACTAACCTTCTGATCAGTCAATGAGTACATATTACCAATGATTTGTGCCGCCATTTTCTTCGTCTCTGTAGATCTAGACTCAAGAGCCCGATGAATGATGGGCATAATTATAGCTAATGACGGCGCATCAATCACATGAACAAATGACGTCATTAAGAGAACTTGAAGCGCTTCAGTGGTTTTCGATGTTGGGTCACTCAGAGCTTCCAGAAGAACAGGGGAAATGGCTAGAAATATGGAATGAAAATGATTGCATGACGTACAACTATAATATCCGCGAGTGAAGACAGTCTATGCTGGCCAACCTTGTATTTCAGGATTTCGTATGACAGAACCAATGTGTTTGAGCGCTTGAGCTGCAGCTTTCTGTACTTTGATATGAGAGTCTGTCAAGACTTCGATCAATCTTGGCACAATGTTGGGTAAACAAGAGGAAAGTTGCTTTGGGGCGCAATACGCCATCGCACCAAGCAGCTCAACACTCCCTGACAAACAAAATTTATCGAGCAGCGTAAGATAAATGAAAATGGTAACCCAACACAAGAAAAAGATTTTCACCTGTCTTTGTTCTCCAGGCATCTTCTGTGAGTGCTTTAAGTAGCGATGGTAAAACAAGTTTAACTCCATGAGCACTCAGATTCCTCATCATAGCTCTGGCCGTGTCGTCTGTTGCCTGAAAATATTGACCAATCAAATTTCATAACTTTATCATGTGATAACTCTATCAAATGAACCAGTCACAACGCAATAGATTCACCTAAGGTGCACTATAAATGAAAAGTTGCGGTTGACAACTGTATATAGACTATGGTATTTAAAGCTTATAAAACAAGTTACACCTTTCGCATACAAATTTTTGATCAACTTACATCTCTGACGAATTGATTTCCATCGCCAAAACAGAGTAAAAGATGAGGAAGGACATGAACTATGTATGGCTCAAATAATCGTCCAAGGATGTGGCAGAGAAGTTCAAATGCAAATAAAGCTCCTGTTCGCCAGAAAAAAAAGATGATGAGCAAGAAGAGAAAGCTATAATTATTCCTCTACAATGGTCAATTAACCTTCTCTGTGTCTGTAGTTCTTTTTATCTTGTATAGCGTCTTGCAAAGTTGACATTATATTCTGTTGTTTTAACGACAATATCCCCAAGCCTTTCACAAGAGAAGCTAGCCCATACGCCGCTCCACGACGCTCGCCATACTGTTGAGTCTAGTAACTATACAAGAGATAAATGAGAGCAAAATCAAGCATCACTCTTCATTGAAAACGACAACAAACTGTTACAACTAACTTTTGTTAAAAGATTTTTTATAATATCGGGTGCTTCTTCCTTGATTGCTGGGACAAGAGGAGGAAGACAGTTTGAGACCGCCTCCTGAACCTGGAAATAAAATACGAATTTATAGTAAGTCATTGCAACGTTGAAGAAATATGATGCAAAGAGAACTCACCTGTTGAGACGGTGTCGACAGAGCGCTAAGTAGTTTATCTATTATTGGATGAACCTTAATTGAAACAAAAAATTGTCATATATGAACTGCGAATTAAAAAAAAAAACTAATTTTTGCGAACAAGTACAAGTCCATGAGCAGAATCCAAAATATCCACAAAAATGGATATTTAAAATACTCACCTTTGGATCTTCTTTGTCAAGATGTTTTGCTAAACATCCCATCAATATGATAACGGACTGGCGAATAGTGTCATGTGAGGAGGAATCTGGAGCTTTATCAAAGAACTCTTCAAATATTTCCAACAGAGATGAGGTATTGTCCTAACACAAAGGAAACATTGATATTTAAAGCGCAAATGATAAATCTTGAAAGTTTGTAGAACGTGATAACCTTATACCTTTCCCAAATGATTGACGGCAACCAATGCAGCTTTTAACATTTCCCCTCGAACATGTTCATTGCAATCCCCGAGGGCCGTGGGGACGAAAAAGGTAAATAATTTAACGACCTAGAAATTAGTAAATAACAAATTTAGGTTTTTCTGGAGTGAATCCAAGCATCAAGACTATGCCATTCACCTCGTCATCTGTGAATAAAGTAGCCATGTCACGAAGTGCCTTCGCAATCCCGCGCCTTTCCTTCCAACGATCTGGATATTTGTCTCCAACGATCCTTCCAAGTTCATCTCGCTTCAGGGCTGGAAGCTGAAATAATAACTATTCTGAACTTTCTAATTCAAACTTATCACGGAGATCTGCATCTGTATGATCTAGTCTGCAGATAAAAATATAAAACACGTACCTTTAATTTGGCTTTGTAAACATCAATAAGTTGCACCAAGATCTCATCCGTGATACTTGGATGTTCTTTTACAGCCTCACACAAGGCAAGGCTAGCAGACTCCTGTATATCATCCACATCACATATAACATCCTGCGCCAGATTGCGACATAATCCCTCTTGGACAAAATATCCCATTTCGTTCCAAAGTCTAAGAAGATGTTTAACATTCACATCATATAATTAAATCACTAAATCATCTCCGATGATTTCAAATTACCAAAGCAGAACTGTACAAACCTGTCTGCGAATTTTGATGTTTCACTATCGCTGTCAAATCTTGTCGTCCAAACTCTTTGTACCACCGGATGGACCTCCAGAATCTTGTTCCATGTTCGGTAAAATTAAGTTTAGAGCTTGAAGACATTGTATAGCAACATAGCGAAGAGATGAGACGGAGGAATAAAGTGACGAGAGAAGAACATTGATTTCTTCATCTGAAGCAATCGTACAGCCTTCCTCGCCACTTGAAGATTTCGATAACTCTACCATACTGACACAACCCAGGCGCTGGAAAAAATAATTAACTATTAAGTTATCGCCACATTTTAACTAAAAAAATCAGTTAATAAAATCAATTTTATGAATTGTTGCGGTCTTTTATTTGAAAAGGAATTTTTAAACTCAAGAATTACAGTTTTTGTTTCACAGTAGGTTTATTATTAACCGAAACTTACTTGTATTTTAGAAGTTGTGACGGAGTCAGAATGGTGTTGAATAATTTCTGTAAGCAATCTAACATTTCCGCCCGAGGAAGGTTGCTCGGACCAGTCTAAGAAAATTACATTTGATATCAATGTTATACTGTATAATTACAAAGTGTTTACTAACCAGGAACTAAATGATGGTGAAATCTTATAGCTAGTACTGTACCTCACTATATCGTTCATCAATATCCTTTCACGCATGCGCAGTCTACAGTGTTGCGCTAAAACTTCCATTGTTCTTTCTTTAACATCAACACTCAGGGCAGAGTTTGTTAGAATACAACGAATCATTGGAAAGCAGAAGGAAAACGTCGTACACATTAACAGTTCCTTTTCATCACCCAGCCTAAAACAGAAAATATCACGAGTAAGACTCTTAATAGTAATTATCCTCTAAATATTGGATGAAGAGAGTAATTATCCATTGTGACAGCCGCTAGATTCTCACCTGGCAGATTTTAAGCTTTCTTCGGACGAAATAGTTGTGTTATAAAGATCGTTAATCATCTCTCCACCCCAGCAGCCAAATATTTTCTTCCCAACGTAAACGCAATGGACAACGAGCTTGGTGCAGTTGTAATGTCCAGCCATGTTATACTCACCTGGAAAGAAAATGCGACAAGAATGAATTGGAATAAATTCCAACTTTTGTTCCTGCACATTTCATTTGATTTAAATTGAGTTGAAGGGTTTTTTAATAGCACTGTTATATTCCTGCTTTGATTAGTTCAACATAATATTCTTGTAAGTTGCATGGTGACATCAATAAGTATTTCATGAAGAATATTGCACTGATGAAGGCCCGGGTTAACGGACCGAAAGCTTTGCAGTATTAAATACTTACGTGGTGTACCTACAAGTTAATTTACTAGTTAAACATATATATATATCAGAATAATATTGTCAAACCTACCTAAATAATGAATTTTCTTTGGAAACACGATATCTCCAAGCGTGATAAAAACGTGCAGAACACGTGGTGCAGCCAAAGGGGACTTAAACAGTGACGTAATAGATTGAAGTAAGATAGGGATGTGTTGTCTCAACGAAGGAGCTTTCGTAGAAACAGCTGTCTGAGCCACCAGGCAAGCATGACTGATTTCTATATCGAGCTGAAATGATAATTTATAAGATAAACAATTTCATTGGAATTCTAACTTCGTGTATACGCAATAAACTTACTTCTTCAATTCTTTTCCTAACTTCATTTTCTTTCTCGAGTTGTGCCATCATCGCTTCACGTTCTTTCTTCGTCATTTCAACATTTTCACTTGATATCTTCTTTTTCATTAATTCCTGAAACATATTTTCACTTCATTTTCACAAGCAGTACTAACAAACATCAAGATATACTGTAGACTTTCTTGTACTTATAATAAGCACCAATTGATTGAATAATTCCTGACAAACCTTCCTGAGTTGCAATTCCTCCAACTGTTCCTCGTAGGAATACGCTTTCGACTCTCGCTTCATATTATGATGCTGAAATCGTTCACCTTCCTTTATTCTAAAAAAAACGTTGTCAGTCTCTGCACTTTGCTGACTCTGGTAGTAAACGCTTTAAAATAAATGACTTACTCCATGACCCTCGACTGATCGTATAGAACACCTTCTGGTGTATTGAAAATTCCAAACTCCTCGTCTGTCACAGTTTCGAACTTGGAATTTCGCAACGTTTTTATGACGTAAGCCATCACGTCATCAAATATAATACTCTCCGCCTCTATAAGTAAAGTTCGTATGAGGGCTGGAAGTACCTAAAATATAAGATATGTTTGTGGTTAACTCCTGAGTTTTAGTTCACGCAGAAAGAGAGAGAAACAACAGCCAACGTCAACAAAACCAATGCTAAATGAATCCAAGAATGCTTGTCTATATTCATTGAGAATTTCAAAACCAACCTTTACATTTTTGCTCGACACAAACATTTTCAATATTTCGTCTTTATTATTTTTGATCAATTCCTCAATATTCAACTTGAGTTGCAGAGTCAAATCTCTCCACAGAGTTGGGTTGGATGAAGCTAGATGTGAAAAATATATTGGATGAACCTATCGGATATATACAGTTATTATTGCCACATTTAAATAACGAATATGAGATATTAAATAACACTGACTGTACCTATAAGTGGATGATGAGCGTCTTCTAAAACGCAGATCATAACGCTCGGAGCATATTTCTTGTCGTCACGATCTTTAAGTGGGATGGTGACAATATTCTCAAGAACTGAAGCAAGAATTCTTGGTGAGAAGTTCACTGTGTTTTCATTTTCGACTTTTTGATCTGAGACCACTTCAGTTTTCCTGAGCATTGATGAGGTGACCTAAAGCGAGGGAGGTAGGCTAAGACACGTTCATTTCTCCTGAGAAATGCAGGTAAGACTGGGACGCAACACAACACAAACCTCTGAACTATTTAAAAGTTCTCTGAATTTCTCAAGCAGAATCATTTGCAACTTGATTCCTCCATCCTCCGCCAAGGAGCACAGTTTTGAAAAACAACTCTTCGCTTGTTGGCGAGTTTGATAATTCTGATGTGTCAGGGTGAACACCAGACCAGAGAACCACCAGCTAAGAGAGACACCAACATTAATAATAAAACAAACTCGATTATTTTCCACTAACTTTGGATACCTTGCATTTTCAACACCGATTTTCTCGTCAGGATGACTCATCAACTTTTCAAGAATCAGGTGCAGCTGGCTGGAACACTTAAGTGAAGAATTTTATTGAAAAATTGAGTCCAATAAAAAAATGTAAAGTGGAACTACAAGATATGCTTTCTTACCCACTTCTGTAACGCTTGAAAGGAATTTAAGTAGCAGTAAATATCTGACTCTTAGAATCAAAAACACAGTCCCAAAATGAACGAAGTTTTGAATCTGCAAACCAATGGATGGATTATTACAGATCTATTTGAAAACAATATAGTTCTTAGATAAATGAACATACCAATTTCAACATCTGATTGCCCAAGTTGTATCAATATTAACGTAGCTGTCAGTGCTTCAGAAATAACACTTGGTTGATGACTTTGAGTGAACACTTTTTCTACTGTCTAGAAGTATACATAATATAGGAAAATATCACAACTGGTGTAGTTGGTGAATAACATCATTACAAATGATAAAATGGTAAATAAAGCCTGTGTCTTATAATATCCTGCATTAGCCTGATTACTGGTATCATAAAGACAATCAAACTTACCTTCAGAAGTTGCGGTATTGTTGAAACTGCTTGATTCAAAGTATTACCTGAACAAAAAATTAATATAGGTTGAGAACATCACAATTTATTCATAAGAAAAAAAATATCATTCTGAATCCCAACCTCTACAAGATGCTGCAATACAATTAAGATATCCTCCTCTGACCATTGAACTGGACTTTTTGTTCAACATGGCTTTCTAAAGAGATGAAGGAACAATGTCATAACTTCTGAATTCTGACCAGAGACTCTTATTCAACTTTCCATGTTAAACTACACAGTACAAATAAACCATACCTCAAACATTTGAAACAGGTTGCCAGGAACTTTATTGGTGATATGTAGACACCATTTCTTCAGCACAGTTAATGCCTGGACAATTACATTCTCATTAACTGAAAAAAATATATCAGAAATGTATAAATTTCCTTTTGAATGAAGGGGAGGACACCTTTGTGCAATTGCCTTTTAAACAAACTTATTATTGTAAGATGTGTTGTTTTACCCTCTTGTTTCAGAAATATTTCCATCTTCTCAACAACCAAAGTTGCCAAATGCTCCAGTTGAGAGGAACCACTTACTGAGTTATTTTCAAGATTATAGAGACCTGAAAATACACTAGAAATGGTGGAATTAGTGCATAAAGAAATCAGCCATGCTGTAGTTTTTGTACTGTACCTTTCAGCACACCAACTCTATCTGTCCACACAGTCAATTTCCCTTCAGCTCCTTAATTGCAAGAAAAAATTGTTATATATTGTATAAGTCAATATTTCAGTCTTGGAAAATTACCATGAAGAACAGCAAATAGTCTTTCAATCATTTCCTTAATGCACATCCAATCACTGCATTGTCGGGATAAGTTTTCCACACATAAGGCAGCTTCTTCTCTGATAAACTCATCTTTTGAATAAAGGTGTGCTGGAAAGAAAACAAGCAACATCTTCAGTTTGATGATCACTGAAAACCATGTAAAGTAATAAAAAAACAATCATACAATTTACCTGACAAACTTTTACAAAGAACTATAGCATGTTGTGACAGATCAATTGAAACATCTTTTAAAAGATGCGAAAGAGCTAAAAATGAACCAAGATGGCATCATGTTAATATTAAATGACAATTAATTTAAAACCTCATCACCAGGTGAGATATAACTTCACAAGGAAATTTTGACAAACCTTCGATGACCAGTTCAGGGTTACGAAGAAGGGATTTCTGTACTAGAGGTAAGATGGTTTCCTTAAATTCTTCATGACCAATGTGCTGAAGTAATGTTGAGCTTGCCTCCTAAAAAATTTATAAAATAGTTGTTACATTTGCCTTCATAACTGAAAAAGTCATAATAACCAGGCATGAAAAAACAGCATTCACATCTACAGATTTCTAACATCAACTAACAAGTAACAACACAGAATGTTCAAATGATCATGGTATAGGTTCAATTCAAATCATCTGTTACATCAATCCATCACTTACCAAATAGGTTGTCTCTGCTTTGACCTTTACCATAAATATTGTCTTCACATACAGATCAATAACATTTTTCTAAAAGAAAAATAAGTCACTTAGTACCTAAACTACTAAGTAAAAGAGATTCAAATTACCAAACACTATGACAACAAACCATAGTCTCCTTTTCTTGAGTTTTATTGTGTTTCATCTTAGAGCAGAATGCCAGGAGTTCACTTACAGTACGCAAATAAACCTAAAGGTGAATTCTTCATTAATGTATAGGCAGACATTTATTTATTTAATTCACAGAAACATGTAACAATGAATACTTACAAGTGAGGTAGGAAAAGAGAATATTGCTTCAAAATAACTGGATATAATTTCTGGATTCTAAATAATAATTAAGAACTTTAATAAGCTCAGTACTTTTCAATTATATTTGGATTACCAATTAATTAACATCGAACGAAGATGAGATGATCAATGGTCAGAAGTGTATTGGAAAAGGAAAAAACAATTCTTTAGGGAATAAAAAAGACGACCAAATGTTTGGCTTAAAATGTTTTTATTCCAGATATCTAAAGGGTGCTCAACCAAGATCAGTACTTACATTATGAAGAATTCTGCGGAAATGATTCTTAGCAGACATTTGAATTTTCTTGGCTCCAGAAAACAACAGACATTAATGAACACTGAGACTGGACAATCTTGTTCCAGAGAACTCCCTGGCGTTCATCAGCATTGTTGAAACCATGTGTGATAATGAGACACGACCATTTAAATGGTGGCAGGAGTGAACCTGGAACACTAAAATGCATTAGATCTTTTTAAATGTACATAAACCTTGATCATGATCAAAATCCTTATTGTTTAAATCAAGCTAACCTTTGACCATGTTTAAGTCCTCTTGTAATATTTGACAACATGTTAACAAGTGGTTCTTTTGAAGCTTCAGCTCAGAGGAATTTACATTGTCTCACACTTTAAGGAATAATTTTGTGCTTGAAATGCAAAAATATATTACCATGATTCATCAGGGTTGTCTTCACAGCTTTTAGCACCAGTGATCTTGAATAATTGTCACTAGAATTTGTCAGTATTTGAAGATTATTAGGACCTTCTTCAGGAGTTAGTATGAGAGTAATAATTGTTAATTATTGTTCTAATTCTTGTTGTAATTCTAATCATTATTGCTATAATTCTTACTTGTAGGTGTACAATGTTGATGCAATTTTTTTGCAAGGCTTTTTACTGGGAAAATTCTAAAAGTAATAATTATTAATTGCTTGTGTAACTAGTGACTAACTACTCTTGAAATGGCCAGATCACTACAAAGCTGAAATGATACAATTTGAGTTAAAATGTTAATGTCAAGGGCATGCATGTGCCAAAAGCAATAACTTAGTTGCTTATCAATTTAATTTTTTTACCATAATTGGTGCAACCAGACTGGTTGTGGGCTAATGAGGTGGTGCTAGACTACCAGTTCGTTCACTTTCAGAGAAATTCTCAAGACTGGAGCATAGGAGGGTAACAATCTACTGATATACCTTTTACAGCTTTTGATAATAAATTGTGATAATAATTTACAAAATACCTTTCCATTTTATACTTGGAAACAGTAGCTCTTCAAATACAATTCTTCGTTGTTCTAGTTTAGGACTGTTGACTTCGGAAATACAACGTACTAAGAGGTCTCCAAGCTATAGTAGTGAAGAATACAATTCATTAAATTACCGCTATAGGTTTACAAAAAAATTAGAGCCACATAAAATCATTTGTAAATTTTACAGAATTAACACGTTTACCTTTGAAGCCTCGGCCGCCATTTTGAATTGCTCACTTAGCTCCACTGAGCTCTATAAAAATCAGAATGCAGATTTTGCAGGTGATATGGTGATATATTAAGCAGAAGCTCGCCTTATGTTATTAAACTTCCGCTCCATCATTTCCGGATATTTTATGGCTTCACATCCAAACATTGCGTTGTTAAAATGTGAGAAGAAGCACAGTGTTTTAGCACTGAAGTAATGGAAGGTATGGCAAATATTCAGAAACTAGCTAGACAAGCTTTAAAGACATTCAAGACTGCCAGTGGATTGCCCTTAAAAGAAAATTTGGACTTGTTAATGTCGATGGTAGGTTAGCCCATATTTTACTCTTCATTTCGCGTTAAATTTTTCTTTTAATATACTTAAACAAAAATTGTCATTGCCGCAAACCACGAACAAGAATGACAGTGTGTATAAAACACTTTAGAAAGAAGAGTTAGAAAGTTGTAAAAACGTGTATATTCTCACTTCGTTCAATCATCTGACCCAACTAATTAAATAGTTTCAACTAATTTTTTGCCCCGAATTTCATACTTTTACCCGTTTGATTCAAAATTTTAGCATCGATAAACGTTATTCTACAAATAGACATCAACATAAACTTCATATCATGTGCTTAAAGACGTAAATGAAACAACAGTATAACGCTGATACTATAATTACTTTGTTATTTTTAGATGGGTGCGATTACTGCAGAAGATGTAAACCTGACCCCTCCTACTAGGGAAAGGAGGTTGAGTTACCCAGGGGAAGCCCCTGTCTCACATGTAGACATACTAGAATGCCCATACTTTTCAATGGCAGTGTTTATCGTGAGCAAGGGTAGAAAACTTCCTCTTCATGATCACCCTGGAATGTATGGATTTTGGTGAGGCATATTTAAGATTGTTTTCACATATCACATTACATTATGTCATATTGTCTCATCCTAAACATTACATTATTTATAATCACCAGATGGTGGTGAAGTATTGCTACTTATTGAATCAACCTCAAATACTTCAATGCAAAAGTGAAAATGTGTTTTATGAAAAGGAGATTATTTTCTAATACTGATAACTTTACAATAATCTCTGTATTATAACAGTAATATAATCTGTATACATCTTTATATGTTTATGCATTTCTAGTAAAGTCTTATATGGCTCCATTCAAGTTAATATGTATGGAACGATTGATAGGTTAGTTTGGTTTAAGTTGATCTACAAGTGTAAAATGTACCACATGTTATCTGCAAGAAAGTTGTCACTTGCCACTTGGATGAAATTATAATCAGATAATCTTATATTGGATCTGATTGGTCAGTAAAAGTGGCAATGTCATTCAAACTTATGTTGTGCTTGACATAATAGGCCAGTAATTTTCCTAATGTCATTCCTTCCTGTTCCCCTTGACAAAGAGGCAAATATCATAGCCTGGGGGAATTTCATGTCATCCATTATTCTCAAATTATCTTTACTTCAACAGTGAACATGAAAATACAAATGGAGCTGTGGCCAACCATAATGAAAGTATGGAAGTCATTAGAGATATTCATTGTAGATTAAAATATACTTTTTCATTCACCATGTATAACAAAAATACTCAACAAAAATGAATAACATCTTTTTAACAACCTTCTGCAGCCTTTTTTTCGACTTGAAGCTAACCTTTCAAAGTTCTCCTTTCTAAAAACATGTCTAACTTACCATTTATAGTGGAACCTCGCAAATTCTTATACCAAGGAAAACACATATTTGACAGTGACAATGGTGTTTGTGTGGTTAGCCCTAGTCATGGAAATTTGCATTCAATACATGCAATAAATGGGTGAGAATGAAAATGATTATACTATCCTCTAAGATCTATCTTTGTTTCATAATCTTAGATCCATCCAACACAATAATATCACTCTAACTTACTGCTTCTCTTTGATAACTCCATGTGTACTGAGATGTCAATATCTTTACTTTCTAATAGGCCAGCAGCCTTCCTGGACATTTTAGGACCACCATATTCAACAGAGAAGGTTCCTTTCTTGTTTCAACAATTTACATTTTGATGAGATGAGGTCTGAGGATGTTTATTTGGAAATGTGTTGAAATAATTTTCCATTGCTAGGGACGGGATTGCTTGTACTACAAAGAATGTCATCGCGAGGATATTGTGGATAAACAGAGCAATGTAATATATTTGAAAGAGATTCCATGTCCACAAGAGTTCTTCTGTAATTCACAGGTTAGTTTTCCACTGCCTGGCTTGTGGATTAGATTTATACTTTATCAAGGAATAAGCACTAATCATACGCTTAGAAAGATTTACTATTTTGTGCGGCTTACATGCAAATACGCCGCGAGGGAATTGTTTTACTATTGCTCTTTAGTATCCTAGGATTCCTAGATGACATCCTCCCCGGAATGCCGTGGTATTCTTTCACCTCTGCATACCACGGCAAAGTGGAAATGTGTCAGTTGTCTACTCAAAGAAAAAATTCACAAAAGACGTTAAAAAATAATTTAAATTATTTTATATGGTGCTTTGATAGGCTTACAGAGGACCTGTGGTGAAATATGAAGACATAATGCAACCAGAGGAGGAGGAGTGAGGATACAACGGAACAGTTGAGGATACGTATTACGTTATCAGTTGGCAAGAGAGAAATGACGAGGACGTTTTCATGCCTGGAGCTCGTTAAAAGACCGACCCCTGCCTATAATATAGTTTGTACGAGTGTATAAAGTATTTTACAAGTGTACAGATGGTAATAAATTGATGTGCTATAAACTGAAATGAAGTACTTCACTCCACTTTATATTATCGTAAACATCGTACTTCTCGTCTGTCGAAGGCAAATCGTACATTTGAGATGTCTCGGATATTGTCAACGCATCCAGCACACGAGAAAACACGATGTTTAAAGACTAAAGTTACCCGCCCTAATTAAAAAAACTTCTCAAAGGAAAACAGTACGCTCAATCGTATATTTGAAGCGGATATCCCCAAAGCAAGACACCACATATCATCTATGGTTCACTTGTATCCAATGTTTCCAAGTCATTCTCAAGTTCTGATTTATCGATCAATAAATTTTTTGCTCCTTTTGGAGCTTTGTTCTCTTCTTCGAAATCTAACTCGTCCCCACTTCTTTTCTTATTTCCAGACTTTGCTTGCTTTTTAGGGCTTCTGCTCGGGCTACCTGTTTTACCTCCGCCACCAACAGGTTTCTTTTCTGGTTCCTCGCCGGCAAGAGCCTGGAGGGGATTAAGACCGCTGGTACAGGTAAACGCACACGCTAATACAACACAAGCAACCACAGAACAAAGATGAAGGAAGAGAACGGCCATTCCAACTCCTCCATGATCATGAACACTAGTTTTACTGAAGTATAAAAGTGTTGTACAACCTTGCACAAAAATGTTTTCAAATGGATCTTTAATGTCTAGGTCATCACCACAACCTGGTCCAGGCATTTTGCAACACGAAGTAGGGACGGCATTCATTTTTTGCTAAAAGGGAGACGAGATGTTACAAAAAATAAATCACTAAAATATCCAATCATAGCATCTCAACTGAAAGGTCGATAGGTCATATCAATCACCAGAGAGTGGATCATATTGATCACCAGAGAGTTGATCATATTGATCACCAGAGAGTGGATCATATTGATCACCAGAGAGTGGATCATATTGATCACCAGAGAGTTGATCATATTGATCACCAGAGAGTGGATCATATCAATCACCAGGGAGTGGATCATATTGATCACCAGAGAGTTGATCATATTGATCACCAGAGAGTTGATCATATTGATCACAAGAGAGTGGATCATATTGATCACCAGAGAGTGGATCATATTGATCACCAGAGAGTGGATCATGATGGATGACACGGAGAGCAGCGAGCTCGCGATTTCAAATGAACCATTGAAAGGAAATGATAGAATGATCTAGTTGGAATACTTACAACTTGCGCTGCCCAGTTCGTGTTTGCCCAATCACGATAATCTGTCACACCACAGCATGAGTACGAGGCTTGAACATAATCCATAATCTTTGTAGTTTCCGGGTTTATACCATACTGTTGTAACATTGTATTACCATCTCCTTGTTCTTTCGTAATCTCAGTTTGCTCATTACGCCAAGTTAACCATTTTCCTGCCAGAGATATTTCCACAATCAGTACAATAAATACGAAAGCAACTAGCACGATATTTAGTCTGTGTATTTCTTTAACTGCAGCAACAAATGCCATGACAGTCAGAAGTAACAGCAATAAAAGTAGACCCGTTCGCAACTGCCATCTGTATGGATAAACTCTGGCTTTGAACTGCATGATTTTTCCTGCTGGAGATGTTCGTAAATCTGTAAAACATATTATGGCAAACCCGCTGGAGAATGAGACAAACAAAAATAGATAAAAAATTTTCGTAATTGCTTTTGATTCACTCATCTTGATTCAAGGTAATGTTCTTTCACCGTGATCCTAGGAAAAAGAATGGATTGTTGATTGAATGTAATTACTTCTCTGATATGTGACATAGGTTACACAAATGGGGCGAATTTAAGCACAGCCAACGCTATGAATCCTTATGTGAAGAATTGAATCGGATGGATTGAACGGTTAACGGATTTGTATGATAACCTTGTCTACGACATTTCGTTCGTGCCCCCAATGGAAAGAAATTTCGACAGACGACATAAATTAACATTTTAGTAAAATTCATGAAAGTTGAAGTAAATTCAAGTAAATTATGAAGAGGTGTTTTGATAAGATTGAAGTCGAAGATAAAGAAGAATTACTAACCTGTATCCTGACGTACAGAAAATCCTTAGTCATCCGTAATACCAACACTTCTCTATGACATATTCGTACAAATACTGGCATTCTCAAACAAACGAGGACGCTAATACATACATTTTTGAAGGAAAAATCACAAAAACATTAATAAAACGCAAAGGTATTTCATAAATTACTGAAGATATCATTTCGCATGCATGACGTCCTGTCGTACGGGTTGTCATTTATCACAACATGTACCACCTGCAGCAACTTTTGAGATCAAAATACCCGGGAAAACTGGAAAACGACCACGAAATATACAAGGTTCCTTGCATCTTTTCAAATAAAATACGTTTCCTTAGGAAACACGGCTAGGAAACAATGTTTCATGCCTGGTTATCAATCAACCTTCGAGATACATGGCTTGAAAACAACATTTTCTCGTTTGTCTACTTCTGGGAAACATGATAGGGACCAATGGTCTGTTCATGAATCTTTGGGAAACATGGCTGCATGTGAAGCAATGTTTATTAGTTGACAATCTTTCCTTTGAATGCGTTTCAAAGCAAACATATTTTACGTTCCTCCCTGACCGGCAGGTAGAGAATTTTATTAGTATTTAAACAGTCTTATATCACTACCATACCACGATTTTCTATGTTAAAATAAAAACCTACACAATTCAACTCTTGCATCAAAATAGCCTGGTTGAATTGGCCAGCTAATTAGTCTTAGATATATACAAATATATGTACAATTTAAATTAATATATATGAAGGATATCTGATGTTCTTACCGTCCGAATACTATTCATTAACACATACGTATAACAGAGTTTAAAATGTCCCAGTTTTTACTGGCGCTACTGTATGGCAGATATGGTTATGAACCAGTATTTAACAAAGTTAAAGTATTCTTTTCTTCCCATAACACAATAACTGAAATAATAATATAATATTTCACCGTGATAGCTGAGTCTCTTTCGCGTCTGTGATGACTGAAGACTTCAGGTTTCTTGGAAGCAGTGAATATGAAACGTCACTTGGTAAAGGCATACCGACCTCCAGATGAACTAAAAGAGCCTCGAGCCAATGACTGAGCGAAGAAAAAGTTGGCCTAAAAACAAGTAAATAATTAAGAAAATTAATGCATGTGTGAAACCACTGATTTACTCTACAAATTTTCATTCAAAACATTCACCTTGAAGTTGGATCAAGATCACAACATAAACAAGCAATTTGATAAAATGGTTTAGGACAGCTCTCACAAAACTTCTCTTCAAACGAAGGCTCGTCCAAACCAAATTTCTATAAAGAACATTGCAGAGAGAAAATTTCATGTTGAGATTTGGTCAGAAGGTTTAGAGACGATGGTAACGAACAAACTGGTTTCCAATTAGAAACCTCAGGGAATTGAGAAAGAAAGGACATTAATACTTACTTTCGTACGAGGAATAAAATCTGGACTTGCTTTTACTCTACTTATAATCTATAGTTATAAAAAATACAGAATTACTGTCATTCTTACATGACAAAAAGGAAGACATTAAAAATAATTTGTCCACCTCACAAACGATTATTCCAAATGAAAAGACGTCCACACGTTCATCATAAGCGTTTCCTTGGGAATAATAAAATTGAAATTAGTAAGAATTGAGAGCTTGAACATGACAACCCGAGAATATTACCGTTCAACATCTCAGGAGCCATCCAGTAAGGTGAACCAACTACAGTTGTTCTAAAGACAAGTAAACATCGATATTCAATAATGATGGAAGAGGGGTTAGGGGTTAAGAGGACTACAATCCCTCCCCCATCCCTACAAGGTTATTACATTGGATGAATCATACGAACTCCAAGCTCAGTATTGCACATTTAAAACATTTACCTTTTCTTCGGTGGCGGAGGACGAGTTGATAAAAGATTTGAATGTAAACCTTTATTTCCGTTGTTATTCCGATCCTGACCATTTGAATGCTCTTCATTGATGCTCAGAATTCCCGCCAGACCAAAATCTGCGACAACAATTGTCATACCCTAAAATGATCACGGGAAGGTTAAGTAAACTTACGTACAATGGCAATTAGCGAGTGTGTCTCTGCACAAATAACACGCGGTAAGACATTGATAAGACAAGACCCATTAAACACATTTTTCTGTGGTATTGATGTGAGATGGATGAAACAGAGATGGAACACACATTTACTGCAACACTAGGCTAAAACGATGCACCAGGAACGCCTCATACCTCATCTTTTCTGGCCAGACAATTTTTGGATTTAAGATCTCGATGAATGACGTTCATTTTATGAAGATAATCCTATAAAGAAAGAACAGAAGATATATTTGGTAAAGAAGCGTCAGGTTGGATGCAATGAAAATGTTTCATAAACGGAATGCTTACCATCCCAAGCGCGATATCTTTAGCGAATTTCACTCTTTGAGACCAGGACAAGTCACGTGTCTGGTCCTTCAAAATTCCTCTCAATGTACCTCCTGGTATATATTCTATGGTGGGAATGATATGGACTTGCAATAACAGACGTCACGAAGGAGATGTGGTCAGAGATATTATGAAATGAAGGGAAGTTTGTAAGCTGGTAGTCATTGTGGAGAAGACGAGAGAAGCAAGATTGAGATGATTTAATCGAGAGAAAACAAAAATAAAGACATCTTATTTACCTGCAATAAAGCTCAGTACTTTGTTCTTGTATAAAATACCGATAAACTTTAGGACATTTGGATGATCCAGAGTTTTTAGCAAAGTAACCTAAAAAATGGACGGTTCTGTCACAACTAAAGTAAAATGGTAATTGCTTGGAGCAGATGGACAGACATACCTCCTTAATAAACTGTTTTTGAGCAGTGACATCGCATCTTATCAATTCCTTAAGGACCATGACTTTTCCTGTTCCACGATGAATCACCTGAGGTAACAAGAAAATCTTCATCAAAAAGGAATACGTCGTTAATATTGACACAGCAGGCTGTCTCATACCTTGCTGACTTGGCCAAAGAAGCCTTTGCCAATAACCTCCCCAACAATAAGATCTGACAGACGAAATACCCTGAAGATGAGTGACATTAAATGTTCAACATGTTTTTTTCAACGATACAGAATGAGAAGAACTTCATTCAAAAGAAAAACAAAGACAAGAGAAAATATTTTGGATACTCACTGTCCTGCTTCCATCTTCATAGACTGTGAGCGATGAAGAGGAGAATTACATTTCATCACATTATTGGTGTCTACTGAATTACTAGAAATACAAAGTGTTACGATATGTTTAGCTCAAGTAAGCTCAGATGGCTTTGTTTTCCTTCTGCAATACTCTTTCTGAGTACTCTAGTTTTTCTCCGTGGCTAAACTATGATCCATCATTTGGCACTACCTTTAGCACTACCTTTGGCACTACCTTTAGCACTACCTGTAGCACTACCTTTAGCACTACCAAACCACAGGAACTAATTTGTTGTGCTTATTACCTTCGAGGTAAAGAATTCGCTCGTTCTGGTTTCTTGCGAGTTTTTCTATCAGTGGAATTTGCATCTTCCTTAAAACCGTTTTCTTCCCAGGGCATACTTTGTTTCTTGAACTTTTGGTCATAATTTGGACTGGCAATGAGATCCAGAGAAGCTTGTTTTGCCAGTGGTGATCGAGGTAATAATGATTTTATACTTTCTGGTTTGGTTGGTTTCAACTCCAACGGCGGAGGCGGATTGCCGGTGTTTCGTTCGATGGTAAGAGTCTGCACTCGTTGAGGGTTTGAAATGATATGAGAGAGCTGCAAGAAAATTGGTTTTTTTTGGATGTTAAATTCACGATGAACTATTAATAGTTGTTGCACAATTCACGAAATTGACAAATCGATACGCAACACTACTTCATTAAACTATTTTCAGGCTGTAGTTGCAAACTACAAGAGTTACTGACTACATATTATCACTGCAGCTATTGTACACTGCACTATACTATAACACTGGACCACCAATGTTGACATTATAAGAGACGTAATTACCTTGTCGACAGTGGCATCAGTAACCATGATGTCATTGACTTCAAGTACTTTATCTCCGCTTTGAACTCCTCTCGCTTTTAACTCACTGCTTGCGTCAACACTAAAAGAAATATGGCGGAACAAGGACTGTAAACAACTTTGCATACTAAGCTAGTTCTAAAAAATCAATGATTCGACGTACTTTTCGATTGCAATGAAGCTTCGTCTTTCACCATCTCGAGAAAAGTCCGCATTCGCAGAATGTAACAGTTTATTGATGCTGCTCGCCTTCTCGATAAGAACGGAAAATTTACGTCTTCCAACAGGTGTTGGTGCCAGGTTGATATGCTGGATGGTATGACAGCGTCCTAGTTTACTGACTGGCGTACTTATTGCTGGTAATATCGAGTTCTTATAACAATCATTGCTAAATATGGAAAATGATGAATATACACTTTTTATCTGGAAGAGCTTACGACTTAGCAAGTGGAATGAGTGGGCAATCTAAAGTTGCAACCCCCAAAAATTCAAACCTGGGCGCGACACAGTACCAATGAGCAGTGCATGGGCAGTTTTCAAAGAGAAAGTTTCATTGTTTTTTACATATTTAGCTGTCAGTTTTTTGTTAAATAGCAATCTTGAAATTTGAGAGATTTGGTTATTATATTAAAATTAATTGACTTACTATATTAATGCGGGAAAATGATTTTTATCTCTGATGTAGACTAACAACTGATATTAAACCATCAGAATTCAGAAAGCTATGCTTAGAATCCAGATTGCCTTAATGCTACTTTGTATCGTATTTATTTGGTATCAAACTGCTTATATAGGAAACAAGATTACTCGATAAGTCTGTTCTCGAATTCACATCCTCAAGGTACAAAATTTAAAGGACAAAGGACTCGTACGAATTAACGCGATTCTGGTGATATTTTGTTTTTTTCCTATCAGATATTGTGTCAAGATTGCCGCATATCCGCGTACGTTTTACATCAAAAAATTACGAGGTCAATTATTTTGAAAAGAGGTGCAGTATGGAAGTTGATGGCGCCCCACTGACATAATACACAATGCAAGTTATAAAGCAAAATTATCTAAGCGAAAACAAAATACTCTCAAGACAGTTCCATCACAAACGATTACGTTTTAATCCATTCCCACAAAACTGACAAAGAAATCTTTCAAAACTGTTTGAGTCAAGAACATGATACGACGTTATAGCTTATACAGTATAGCATATGATTAGATCGACGACATAATGGGCTTAAAACAACTAAACCTTTTGCGAAATGTCCATTGTGATATTGGCTTGTTCCAACACATGCGACAGGCAGCCAAAATAATATTGTGAAATAAACAATAAGTTTTCTTACCAATATAAGTTGTGTCTTTCAACTAACATATATTCATCTCCATAGCCAATAAACTTCAAACACTTTGTACATACGAAGCATTCAGTATGATACTTTTGCTCTCCAGCTACCTACATTGGAATAATATATAATTCGTGGTGATGTTTGTTTGATGAAAAATCACCGTAATGTTTCACTCACTAGCCGGTGTCTAAAGTCTTAACGATGAAATTTATAGCACAAACTCACGAGATTTTCTCGCCTACCACTGGGTAATTGAAGAAAAGTATGCGTATTAAGGTCTTGATCATTCTTAAAAAATGTCATTTGAGGGCAGAGTGAAAGGGTTTTATCTATGAATTCGAGACAAGACATTAATTTTTGGGCTATTTATTTCGTCTAAGAATAAATATCCTGTTTCGCAGATAGATTAGACAAGTTGTTAGACTCGTATTTCAAATGGAAACTACTAGACGCGAATTTTTGTTTATAGTATGCGGTAGAACCGAGAATTTGTCGTAAGATATTCCGGGAGCTAACATTTGCATTTTTTGTTGAAAATATTCAAAAATGTATAAAAATCTGGTCTACTGGAATATTGTATACGTTCGTCTGAAAGCTAAAAGCTGTCCAGACATGTATCAAAATAATCTAGGCTTGCAGGCTTTACGAGATGTATTAAACTGCTTCAGCGATGTAACATTTTTACTTGTAATCAACATTCCAGTGTGTAGTTTGTTACAAAACGTTGCAAAGTCATGTTCTTTAGTGTGTCAATATAAATGTCTCAAACCGTCTCTTTAAATTTTGGTTAAAAGACACTTAAGTACAAGAGTTGGGGCAATGTTTATCGAAAAATCACAAAAATAACGTGATTTCTTCCATGACAAATTGCCAAATCGCATGCAAGACACCACGCATGTATGAAATCCGTCAGCGAATTGAGTCAGAGTTATCGCTTGACTTTGTGATCAGATTAAAATGGTTATGACAACATACCATGACTGGTCCAGTGATTTGTTTTGTACATCTTTGACAATGTTCACCAAACTTCAGGATATAATCTTTCTTGCAATACAGGACATTATCTCGCGGCATATAATGAAGCGGAATAGTGCTGAGGCATTCTGAACATCTGCACGAGCAAATATCATGAATAAATAAAAGATAAAACCACAGAATTAAGAAGGATAGCCTAAACCAACACAAATAACGTCAAATTTAAACAAACCTAAAACAATTCCGATGCCATTTTAGCCCCAACGCTGTATGAGCATCCTTTTTAATCGGGAACTTACAGCCACTACAGTTAACAACTAGGAAAACGAATACACAAATTATACGTTTGTTGACTACGGAAATTCAATGGAGACATTGGGTCGTTTACCTTCTAAAGCGCTCATGACTCTTTCAGATTTAAACATTAAGTCGGTCTCCCTGTTTACATCATCACTAGGTGGTTTCAAATTTCGCCAAAGATTTGAATAGAATCAACGAGGCATATCGCCGGAAATTGAGGGCTTCACTCAACAAGGGTGGTTTGTGTTAAAAAGGCAGGCGAAAGCTTGGATATTAGACTTACGAATAAAGAGTTATATTTATCATTTTTTAAAATTTAAACATTAAGAATAACAAAGTGTTAGACAAATAGTTATGTTTAGGCCAAGATATGCCAGTCTTAAGTACATTAGTTTGTTTTCAATAAGTCTCGGTTTTATCATTAGTGGGTCTGAATTATGCTCGGAATCTTGTCTTCGACAGTAGATTACGTAATTTTTACAAATTATTTATAAATAGATCTTAACACAGAAGTTTTATCGGTTCACGAATGCAAGTTGATACACCAATGATGGAATAGTAAGATTTACCAGTGGGTTCCAGTAATCGAACGTTCGACCGAACAACAATGGTGCTTGCAAATTCATTTAAATACAAGATTTAAACAATTCATCCTAGTCATTGCATAATGACGGTCAATAAAGCTACGACAAAACAATCTAATCATTGTTGTTTTCAGAATCTACCTCCTTTGTCATCACAACTGTTTGTACTGCTTATACACCACGGTACAAGACAGCTCTCGTCAGTGTCTCAAATTCCGTTTTCTAAGGATCAGGAAACTCCGCATTCTTCTCTTGATTCAAATCCGTTCGTTCTTTGTTCTTCTTCATCCACATCTGTTCCTTCTTCACCCCTCTTACAACAACCTAAACCTCCATCTTCCAGCAGTTGACTGATGGAACACAACACACTGGAAACTACACCCAAACCCAGCAGTAGGAACACGAGGTTCATCTGGGTGATCACTGTTCTTGTCATATCTTTATGCTCATAAGCACCATCATTCACAACATAATCACCAAAGCCAATAGTTGTGAGCGTCACAAAGGTGAAATACACGCCTTCCATCAAAGACCAACCTGGAAAAGAAAATCATAAACGTGTTTAGTGTTTACACAAAATAGTTACTTCATACTGACAATTGGTGGGTCATGTTGAAACAGTTATAGAAGACAATAATCTACACTAGGAACAAATTCATTCACAGAAGATGATCTATAGACTATCCTAGAAATGGATTAGACCATATCAAGGTCTGAAATTTTGACTGATGCAATCGCATGAGGTTGGATCCGCCCCTGCTTCTGAATAGGTATTTCAATGCATTTTACCTTCAGACATCTTGGTAACGAATGCTCCAGCAAGTAACATAAAGATCATCAGAAACACAGTCGCTATAAAACATTTTCGTCCTAAATTTATTGGCTCTCGTTTCAGGAGCCGTGTCTCAAATGCATACAGAACTCTTGTGATGGCTTTTGCTATGAATTCTCCCACTGATTTCAGCATAAGTGCAGTAACAGGAATTCCTATGAGGCTGAAGAAAATACAAAATACTTGACCTTGCCAAGTCTCGGGAGTAAGGTGGCCGTATCCTATAAAATAGAATGAAAATAAATGAATATTTCTCTATAAAAATTTTATATTTAAACACTTCGTCTTTAACAAGAGGAAGACATTTTAAACGTGGTTGTCCAGTAGAGGTAGTAATCCACAACGAGATGTCGTGGTTTGTATTCAAACTAGGACATGGTACTTCATTTCTTTCAATTCATGCACCTCATTGTAATTTTGATGACTTTTGCTGTCTTTATAAAAAACAAGCTCACCTATCGTTGTGATCAAAACAATAACGAAATAAAAGGAATTTCCAAATGTCCACGGCAGCTGAGTACCACCTGCTCTTGAATGTCGTGAAGTGTCATTTCGCAAGCTTTCCAAGAGCAGTTGATAATCCTGCTTTGAGATATTGTATACTTCCTGAAAATCGACGTCTTTTGGTTTAGATTGCTCGTGACGTCCTTCTGTTGCCATGAAAAGCAATGCTCCAATCAACATAACAACAAGAAAAGCCAGAATACGTGAGAGAAGAATCTTTGTTTGCGATGAAATCATTCGGAATGCTTTCTTCATCTAGACCATAATCAGTGAAGTGTTATCTCTCTCAAGTTTCTCACTCTGTCAAGAGATGCTGTTCTGTCGTTAGTAAAGCCAATATAAACAGATTAATTTACAATAGCGATGGCATAAATTCTAATAAGTAGAGCACATTCGGGTTGAACAGATGGTTTATGAAGAACACTGCAATTAAACCTGTTCAGCAGGTGCCACACAAACCATAATGAATATCTAATAAGCCCATTATAAAGAGTTTATATTGGCAAGATTATTAAATCTTTCAGAAAAAGATTGCAGTAATCCTAGAAATACTGACACTTGCGCGTTTGGTGAAGATAAATCAAGAACTGCCTCTTTCAACTCTGCGTACTCGCCTCCATATAATAACAGAAACCAAAGGTTGAGCACAGTGTGTCGTCTGATTGCAAAGTGTTTAAGCTGAGCTTCTTGCTGACCAAGTTTTATACAACTACTCCACAAAGCCAATATTTCTCACAGCACTATTACCAACCTTAGATCTCCCTTTTTCACGACAAAATGTTAAAATTTAATTCCTAACTTTACATATATATACAAACTAAAATTTAAACGTTTTGACTATAATACGGCGCAAACATAATTGAGGTGATATGATAGTTTAGCTTGAAATAGTGCATTTAATAATTCCAAGATCTTTAACAACGGTCAGTGTGGATCTCATCCAACGACATCATTTATCATGAGACTCGGAACTATCGTCATCGCTTAACGGTTCATACTGTGGTGTCAGCATATTACTTGAATCCGCAGGCTGAAATATGATTGGTGTAGAATCTGCTTGCTGATATCTGATTGGCGTATTAGCCCCAGAGACCACTTGAACCGGTGATGAACAATTACTGCTGGGTGCGGAACGCAGGTTTAGAGCAGAGAAGGGGAATACTGAGTGAGGCACATGTGAGGAGCCCGCGAGTTGCGTCGACGATCCTGCGAGTTGCGTGGACGGGTAGGTGTATGCTCCGAAATCAAGGAAACTGGACGAAGTGGAAGGTTCATCAGAGTCAGCTGGTGGTGATATTGGAATAGTGTCGGGGGTATAGTATGACTCAGATGACGAGGTAATTACGTGTTCTGGTGTGACGTCACACGGTGAGGTTGTCACGTCATTTCTGGTGACATCATCTATTGTTTCAGCGATCTCTCCTTCCTCTAACTCCTCTTCATCACTGGATATAGCTTCCACTGCAATATCATATTTTGTACTTGATGTGATCCCCATAGTTGTTCCTATACTATCTTCAGGTGCAATCAGAGATCCAGCGCTATCCTCGCTATGGCCTAAATAACCAGTTGTATCTGCACTAGTCCCTGCAGTATTTTGGGATGCATTGTTATCTTCATTCATTCCTAAAAATCCCGTTGTATCGATAATTCTCTCGGACAAGTTGGCTCTAATATTCCTGTTAATATCTGACGAAGTATCACATGTCTTTCTCACACCACGCACGCTTGATCCCAAGTATCCACCTATATCAACTTGAGTACTATAGTCACTACCATCCATATCCTCCCTCAAATGTTCCATGTTTTCATCACTTGCATTATCACGATCTATGTCATCAGTAACACTAACAGGGGATACCGTAGACGAATCAACAATATTATCCCTCTCAGTCAATGAGTATCCTTTGAAGTTCCCTTCACACCTAAATTCACCTTCTTCATTAGTCATTGACTCCGCTTCATTTCCACTTACGCTCTCGTGATCATCCGTAAAAGTACCGGAAATTGTCGGTTCGTCGAAATTTGTGGTGGACGGTTCCTCCACGGAACAACCCGGGGAATTTTCGGATGACCTTCGAGCAATGGATGGACGGTTCCTTCCATCCACGATAGGAACGCTATCAGGAAATTCCACTCCAGAACTTCCAGTACCTTTATTTACATTATCTCCGCTATCAGGAAGATTAATTTGGGAACTGCGCGATTCGGGTTCATAAGCATTTTCCGCGCATTCACTTGTATCAGAAGAACTGACATCAGAAATATTAGGAATTCCACTGCTTGTAGCTATGTCATCGTGTTGCCTAGCAACACTTCTTGTATTAACGTGATCTTGTTGCTTAGGAACACTGCTAGTATTCATTTCAACGCGTTGGCTACTAGTCGACACGACGTAGGACAAATTTTCAGATGAAGACGCACGTTGACTTTCTTCGGGAAGAGAAAATTCTAGTTGCTCTTTACTCGTTTCAAGGTTACTTGATGATGTTATGCCAGTAGAACTGTTTCGTGAGTCTAGTTCTCCAACCGTAGAACTTATACCATTGCCAGTTTCATGATCTGGTTTGTCAACCAGTATTCCGGAGGGGTTGTTCCATGTACTCTCTATCATATTTTCTGAGTTGTCTGTTCTTAAAGTATTCTCATCATAAGTAGTGTGATATGTATCACTTCTCTCTTCGTTCAGATTCCTAGTTACATCACTACCCTCGCTATCCACAGACGTTTCAACGCTATCCTTCAATATACCTTGGGCACTCGTTACCAGAGCATCGTTCGTCTCCATGGGAAGATTAATGATCTCGTCTTTCCGAGCTTCGTTCTCCCTGCTTTCCGGAGTGTTCATTCCACGACTTTCATTTTCGGTATAATCATGTTCAGTACTTTTTCTATCACCACGTCCATCGCTGCTTACCACTTGTTCATCCTCATCTAAATCGAGATTATCATGATGTATTACATGCTCAATGCTGCTTGTCACGTGTGCTTCGCTGTTTGTTAGATCACGTGAAACAGGTCCAGCTGAATCTATCCCCAACTCAGCATGATCATGACGTACATTGACCATGTCAGCTGCATTTTTTAATCTACCAGGAGTAGATTTGTTCATTTCAGGTTCATCGTCATGTAATGCTTTTGTTTCAACATCATCTGGGTCCGTACTGCTATCAACACTGTCAGTAACACCAGCTACATCTCGTGCAATTTCATTCCCACTCGTGTCACGATTCTCATGACTTTCCACCGTTTCATCGTCCGATTGATCAAGAATGTATTTAGGTTCACTGGGATCTGACGAGCTTGAGACTTCCTTAGAACCGTTTGAATTTTCACGACCGGAGACTAGAACAGATGTTGTTGACGAAGTACCTTCAGTGATAACAAAATTGTTTTCTTTACGCTCGATGTTTTCCTCGTCATTTCTCGACATACAACTGGAAATATCTTCACTAGTTGTTAAACCTTTCAAAGTTGTGTCTTGGCTAGTTTGATGGTCGGTGAAATTACTTGTATTTGCCACTGGTTGACGTATTCTACTGTCATCTATTTCATTATTTCCTCGATTATTTTCATCGTAGTTTGATATGTCTTCAGATGAGTTCAAACGTTCATCTTTGTCTGATATCGAAATACTCTCATAGCGATCTACTCCGTCTCCTTCAAACTCCCGCGAAACAATCGAGTCAGCTGGTTCCGTTGCATGATCTTGTTCATCGTCAACAATACCGTGCACATCACCAGATATCCCACCATGTGGTATATTTGTACCTTTATTCTCTGCATTATCAATTCCACCTTCGGTATCAACAATATCCCTGTCAACAACATTGACTTCATTATGATCTTCGATATTCCTCGCTATCCCATCATCATCGTCATCATCATCAACAATTTCATCAAAAAACCTATCATCTTCAATGTTAGCGTTTCTCTCTTGGACGGTAGTCATACGACCACTACTCCTCTCTATCCCCGAGTATTCTGTTTCGTCCTCATCACTTGCATCATCATCACCCTCAATACCACTCGCAGTTTCATCTTTGTTCGTCTCATCCTGCGATAACATATCACTCTCTTTCTGACTCATATTTCTCTGACTCTGAGCACCGTAGTCACCGAATCTTGTGTCAACGTCACTTCTGACTAATTTCCCATTCTCCGACTCTGACAAATCAGACACAACCATATCTGACGAATCGAAACCATGGTTACCTCGAAGATCGTCAGAAGAATGGCCAGCGTACTCAAGGTATGTGCTATCAGTCGGTATGAATGTACCATCAGTGTTGGAAAACTCGTCACCACTAGCCAGTTGATCAGAGGTAAGGCATAAAGTAGCCCTACCATTATCACTCTCAACTGGCTGGCTTGAGTCCTGAGGATCGTATAAACTATCCTCTGCTCTGTCATTATAATCTCCTGGAGGGAAATATCTCATTCTCAACTCGTGGTCTTCGTCGTCGGGACTTTCAAAACCAACACTTGAACTTCCAGCATTGGACCTAATATCTTCGTGACTTGCAAACGTTCCTTCCCTAGAGTTTGTGTCCATCTCTGTCAAACTGAGGATGGAGTCTATCCTTTCTGAAGTACGGTCAGATTCCTCCATTTCTGGACTAAAGTTGGAGTCTATCATTCCTGGACTAAAATTAGAGTCCTCTTCTTCTGGTCCTTTGATGGATTTCCCTTTTCCTGGACTTAGGCCGGAGTCCACTTCTTTTGGACTGGTATTTGTATCTAACTCCGTTGAACTGGATTCAATTTCGCTTGGGCTGAGGTTAGAATCCGTCTTTTCTAAAATAGGATTAGAGACTTTTTCTCTTTGACTGGACACAACATCTTTAGATATGGAATCCATCCTTTTTAGACTGGTATTGGACTCCATCTCTCTCGGACTTAGGGTGTGGTATGTTTCGCTTGGACTGGAGTCTATATCCTCTGGGTGGGTGTCCATCAAGGCAGGGCTCAGTTCCTGGCTTGTTTCAACACTTGCAGCGATGACGTCGTTCGCTGGCGACAATTTTCTAGTGTCTAGAATGAACAAATGGACATCTTAACTTTTATTGAGCAATCGCCACACAGTAATACAAACTTATGCTCTGTCTATTGCATTTACAATAGCAAAAGCAAAAAATGGTAACAGCAGATGGGTTTCAACATAAAAACAAGATGTAATAAAAAAGAAACATTATTGTCTAATTTATTACTGGTTGACCACCATCATTGTCACGATATTTTTAATTACCTTGCTTATCAGCTGGCGATGTTGAGATTTCATTACCATCCTCAGCTGAGACAGCGCTAGGATGATTAACACTATTTTTCTCAGCATACGAAGGATTGATGTGTCGTTTGATATCTACTGGAGCATCAAAATTACGTTGATGAAACTCGACTTGTTCAATAAACGAAGAAGTTGAAACCTCCTTTTTAACCAATGGTCCTGGACTTACAGACTTTGGTTTTGGGCTGGCAGATGTTGACCGTTCAGATGAGGTACGAGAGTCCTTCGAGAAACCACGATGAGCGGCCGACGCGACAAGAGACGGCGCTGATAAAGTCCGAGATTGCTGCGATACGACACGAGATCGTTCCGAGAGGGCGGCAGATTGCTCTGAAAGAAAACGTGAAGACTCCGAGGCACGACGTGCTGGCTCCGAGAGTGATCGATGCTGTTCCGAAGAAGAACGAGATATTTCAAATGAAGGTAAAGAAAGTTTTCTCTCATCACGGGTTAATTGAGTTGGGTCAGGAGAAAGAGAGGTGTGTTGAGAAGTTGGGAAGGACGATGTTACCCGAGGTAGAAATGGTGTTTGGTGGCCTTTTGTTTCTTGAGATGTGGGTCGACTAACCATAGTATGCGATGGCGTGATAATACCACCAACATGAGATGTGTTGCTACAAGATGGTCGAGAGAGAGGATATGACATTTCCACATGAAGAGGAGGGGAGGACCTGGATGTGCTGTTTAGTAGATCTTGGTGATAGGGCAGTTGTGGCATTGGACTTAGTATATGACGAGGTGGTGTACCAGGATTCACTCCACACATTAGTGGTGGGGGAACTTGAGAATTGATTATAGATGATTCACGGTTTGTTCGTTGAGATGATGTGGGACCAGAGATGGATTGTGGAGGGAGAGGTGATCTGCTTTTAAGTGTTTGTTGCCGATGATGTGAAGAGGAGTCCTTTGGTAGGTGGGTTGACTGGCTTTGGATCATAGAAGGTCTGGGTGTAGGTTCTAGAAGAGAAGGGCGGGATGATATAGACCTTGGACCATGTTCTTGAAGTTTTGACAATGAATCGTCTTGATAATGAGGGTAAGGACTGTCACGTGTCTCAGGTCGAAGGACAACTTCACCTGGTTGCCCAAAAGAAGGGCGAGGGTGAGATATCACCATCCCAGGTTGTTGGTGGTGGTATAGTACATTCGAAGGAGTGATAATACGGCCATCTGTAGAGATAGATAATCTAGTTTGCGGTTGCTGTGAGAACATGTTCTGCTTGAATTGTACAGGAGGGGACACTTTCTTTAATGGTGAAGACGATTTCCCTGTTCCCATGTCAGACCAAGGTCGAAATATTGTTGGGTTGTTATCTAATCCATGTTGCTTTGCCTCGACGTCAGATCTGTTCTTCTCGTCCATCCGCTGAACATATGGAACTTCTTGCGAGTACAACTGATGTTTACATGGATCAGTGCTCCTACACCCACACGGCAGAATATCTGGGTTGTGGGGACCAACCAGTCCGATATCTCTAGGGACAATCGGTGGGGTACATCTCATTCCAAGGGTGTCCCTTACCAAGGGTGGTGGATGCTGTTCTTTTGGGCTTGGGGAAAAAGATTGAGGATGGCCACGGGTGTGAGGCTGGCCATGGGTAGGATTGGGGTCGGCGAGGGAATCGTGTGTCTCACGTGACAGTACACGACCTATATTATGTTTTTCGACCAATCTAGAATTCGATATTCCCTCACTTCTTTGGGGCAGAGGGTGAGAGCCAGTAATTGATAGCAAGGGGGTGGTTGACGAGGAGCGAGTCCTGATGAGATACCATGAGCCTGCGAACCAGATGACTCTTTTGGCCCGGACATGACATGAACTACCGAAGTATTTGTAACAACACATGACTGGCGGGTAAACTGAGGGTGTGATCGATCAACTTCGTTTGGTTTAGGCTGTTCTCTTGAACGCTGCAGCTCTCGAACACTTTCTGCTAGAAACCCAAAAATAATTAATACTTTGTTTCATCTCTGTTATTAATCATCCAACTTGCGTGAACGAGATTTCATGAAATCTGTGGTAAATTGAGGGGAGAAGAAGAACTCACCTGATGACGAAGAAATTGGTCTAGCCCCTGCAGCAGCATTCATGAGCGCCGTAAATGGTTCATATGACTTGACCTGATCAGTTGGTTCTTTAGAGCTCGGTTTAGTTTGAGGTCGACCGGGCGATGCCGTAGGACGTTCAATCGGAGCGGATCGTGAGTGGACGTCGGTCAAAGACGTCGAGCGCGGTTTGTTAGTGATCTTTGTGGTGGGGATACTTACTTGTTCTGGTGTCCGAGAGTGCATAGCTGGGTTTTCAACAGATCGACATCTGGTTGAGGGAACGGGAGAAATCATCTCATGTCCACCTTCTCTTCGTCTTGGCATTAAAGCTTCACCGGGCGGTAAAGTTTCCAATGGGACCACATATGGACCGTGTGGGGTTAAGAGAAGCTGGTGTTCGATGGGTGGCCACATCGCCGGGTTTGCACGGGCTGCCTCCTCTCGCAGACGGGCGGAGTACAGGTTATGATGCTCCATACCTGGAAAACAAGTCAAAATTACGACATCAGAAAACTGCGATCCCCAATACAGAGACAATGAAATATTTTCAATCAATAGGTATTAACATACCTGGGTGAAGATACTCCACTGGATACATAGGCTCAAAGCCAGGACCGTGAGGAAAAGGTACAGGAAAAATATCTGGTGGGAAGAAGGTGGCAGCATGTGGTCCCAAATGAGGCACAAATGGGATCGGCATAGCTGGGGGATGATGGAATTGAGGGGGAAACCTCTGGTTTCGCACCTGAAAATATTTACGTTAAACATGTAACCTTTGTGTACTGTATGATGGCGATGCATTTGAGCATACGGGGTGGGTAGTGTGTGAGTGGGGTGCACTTTGAGAGTCCTCGAGCAACATGGTGTAACAAAAGGCTCCAAGAATATTTTCTTATAATTTGTCTGAATACTTTGCAGAGTATAGAACAAAATAGGCCATTACCTGTTGTATACTGGTGGTATCTGGAGGTATACATGGTGAATAATAGGTGAATTTTCCTATAGCTTCATCTCGTTCAACTTTATGTAATTCTGGATCAGGAACGCGAATCCTCTTCAATTTTTCTTTCTCATCCTTGTCCCCAAACTCTTCCCCAGAGCTTTCCACGCGACCTGGAGGAAAAAAGCGTCAAATATTTCCGCACAAAATTTGTGATAACCTGAGGTGAACAGCAGCACGAGTTTGTAGTAATGAAGATTTATTTCTACCTTCTGCTGCAGCATTTCTTCGAGCCAAGTTCTGCAAGGCCTCAGAATGTCTGCCAGCTGGTGTGAGGGGTTTATACGGGATATTTGAGTACATTGTATTACTAGGGGAGTCAACTTTGACCTTTGGGGAGTCGGTAGTACATGGGAGGTTAGAGGTGCGTTGAATTTCCATCTTGGTCGAGGACTGGATAAGCTGTCGGTCTGATGACGTGTTTGTCACCTTGGTAACGGCTTGAGATGGCGTAGCAAGAGTAGTGGAAATTGTGCTTCCTAGAAATCCAATAATGATTATCTCTCTTTGATCTTGTATTACAGCGTACTGTTGAAAACCTAAACTAAACTAACTTTACTTATATTGGGAGGCTTTATCAGTTCTAAACTGTTCTGGTCTTTTCAGTCGTATTATTAGTATTAAAACTCCTGAGGAGGAAAGAGAGAAATCCATTACCTGTCAATTGCATTCCTTCTGAGACGAAGATCATTGATGAAGATACAGGAGCTCGCATGTAGTTTTCTATTGGTGATATCTGTGAGCGCGAATGCTCTCGTGGGCTAATTATACCCCTGACTACCTCGCTCTGTCCCTGAGGTTCCACCGTATCCACAACAATAATTTGCGCCTCATCAGCTGCCGGCGTGCTCATCTTTGATTTATCAGACGTTTCTTGGTTTTCCGCCTCATGAAATTTGATATTTGACAGATCTTCTGTAGAGCCTCGTGAAGGTTTCCTTTCGGAGGATTGGTTACGAGAATTTCGTGAGCTGCGCGAAATGCGGAGAGTGGGTCCGGACTCTGCGCGTCGCTCAGCAGCTTGAGAACGAGTTTCTCTTGTATTCGGTTTGCTTCGTACAATACTCGGTCGCTCTTCGACTTCGTAGTTGTCGTCGGAGGCCTCCGACGCAGAAATGGTTTCCTCGGATTCTCTACGTTGGACGACCTACAGCAAGAAATAATAAAACGATCTTTTACTCCAGGGACCTGCGAGAAAGCTCCGGAAGAGATGATCTTCACTGACCCTCGAGGAAGAACATAAATTATTGAAATTATAAAGGCATGCAATATAGCTAATATACTTTAGTTCAGGTTTCGTATGTTGATGAAAATCGTAATGTTCGCACCTTGGCGGCATTGTGTTCTGCTATGACATTTTCCAAGTCAAGTTTTCGTTTATAATTAAAATAGAAATTCTTGCATTGTGCTTCCGTTTTGGTTTTCACCATTTGAGATATCGCTGTCCAGTTGCGGCCATGACGTCGTAATCCTAGATTGTATTAAATGTTCATATTTTACCGAGGACAAGCATGCCATTTAAGTCAATTATCTGGTTCGTACTTTCTTTAAAAGACTAAATCTCTCACTTCAGAATATATATAGGGCTGAGTACTTTTAAAAATAGTTGCATACCTTCTATGGCAATTTCACGCTCGCTTTTCGACCAACGTGGAGTTTCTACACTTGCCGGTTCTGAAGATAACGAAAATCATTTTCAGCGTGATGTTATTTACTGAAGAATTTCTAATAGTGAAATTCCTACCTGTTCCTGCTGTTTTGTTCGCCGTCTGTGGTGTTGTGATCTTAGCAGGAGTATTAGAACTGGTTATGGGGAGACGTGAAGAACTCTCCTCTGATCCATCACTATCAATATCAAACCCCTCTTCTTCCTCCACGTCACTCTCTGACCGTGAACCCTCAGTTCTAGAAGGATTCAATAAACATTCGTACTTTAACAAAACATAACCTCGCACATAACCTCCCTTCGACAGTATCTACATTAATTCTTTGTTAAACATAAGATTGTTTAATACTTGCCGTGGTTTGAGGATTTTAGACTTTGAAGTCTCGTCTTTTATAGTGGAATGCTAACGAAAGAAAAAGAAATTATAAGAAAAGTATAAAAGAAATTGAATAAAACAGAATTGCTCCTCAAGGTTTACCGTCAGACGTTTTTTTCAGTGACTGTTTCTTCGCAAGTTTTTTATAGTTTCCAGTCTTTCTCTTTGTGAGATAATAGTGTAGTATGCAGTCTTTCACGTTCTGGTGATCAAAGAAAACACATGAAAAACAAATACTACAGACTCCAACTCTAAATTGTACGTGCTTGCAAGACGTACCTGTTTGGTATAAACTTAGCAATAAACTCGAAGTCTTTGGGAGCCACAATATATCTGTAGATAATTACACAAATAAAGTGTAAGTGAATCTAGTTTAATCTCTTTTAACAATGTCGAATGACACTGTAACACAATGTTGTATTAAAACTAACTTTTCTTTGAAAATTTCCTTTTCCCTCTCTGTCCAAATATTCAGCATTTTGTGCTGCTCAACGTAAACTTGAAGGTCCTTTATTAAACCTGCATTTTAAGAACACACACGTATTAAATTAGCAAACAAGCTACAGTACATCAAGTCGCTTGAGCAACATATTTTTAAAGCATTGACAAACCATTTCTATTGATATATTTGACTCTTCTTTGATCCTCGTCCAGAAGTGGAGGGGGTCAACAGCCAACAGTCTCATGTGTTTTTCGTGTCTCTATCAAAACAGAAATTATTGAAACTGACACTGTCATTATTTACACGCAAATCTAGCAATATGTTGATACCATACAAGATTTTGAAAGGACAACGTTTAGAGCAGACATTACAATGAAACCATACCTCTTTTTCTTCCAGATCTTTGAGAATTTCTTCGTATTCTGCGTCACTACGCGCTGACATTCCCCAATTACGAGAACCAATCCTAGATGTAAAAAAGCATTCAGCTGAACTGTAATTGTTCATGATTCTTCGAATTTTAGTCGTATTGATTGTTTCTCACGTTGATCTTACAGTTGGAAACAATTTATCCATTTTTCTTTCGTAGTTAACAACAATCTGTTAGTGGGTAAGATGACATGAAACTCTACCTTGAAAATCGTTCAGTCTGTTCTCTATGTCTCTTGATTTCGGGAAATATCTTTTCATAAGAATCTCTGATTTTTCCTTCCCGGTTCCTAAAAACGAGAAGTGAATAAGGTTAGTAATTTCAGAGCAGCAATACTTGTTGCAGAAATGCGAACATGAAAGATGATTTTCAAATGTTTATCCGCTTACTTTCGTTTCTGGTTATTTTGAATTTTCTCGACTTTTTCCATCCACTTCTTGTGTAGAACTCTGTACTGTTCCAGAAGAGCTCGTTGCTTGAATTAAATAGAAATGTATCTTAGTCATAAATGAATAAAGATTTATAGGACAATCTTGACAGGTTACACCAGCAGAAACTTCCTCTGAAGTAACATTGGCAGCCTAACCTTAATTTGCTTGTCTTTACGTTTTCGTTGGAAATATTTGACAAGTTTCAACTGCACTGCCCTGGCTCTAAAAAAAACATAAAAAACAATTTACATGTAGCTACATCCACATCTATTATAGTGGTAGCTACATTGCGCTGACGCTTTTGGAAAACTCACTTCTTACGATTTTCTTCGTAAAAGGCAAATCAGATGGCTGATTGTATAACGGCTGTCAAAATAAAACAACAAACGACAATTACAATCTCTGAAGGACACTTTGCCTTCAAACTGCGCTGAATGGAATATTGAAACGATGGTTATCTTTATATGGAGGTGAAATAAATTACGAAGGACACGGCTCAGTTTATTCTAGTTAAGGAATTATTTGTGCCATCTCTAGCTGCCATTATTTGCAATAGCAGGAGCAGTTAGGATGTGTGAACAAGTGTTTGTTTAGAGGTTATCTAAACCTATTCAACGGAGTACCCACAATTCACATCCTTTGGCAAACCCTTAGTAATGTAAAATGCTAAAATGGAGCCTGATAATCTTACCAGAGCAGTCGGCAAAGGTATTCCAATTTTTGCAAATCTTTCATGAGCAGCCGCTGCTTTTTTCTGCAAAAAATTAGAATTATAATTAAATCATGATTGAGACAATTAGCTCTGCACTTGGATTGAGCAACTATACCCTATTTTCTTCATAAATTCTTTCAATTAAGGCTTTCTCCTTTGGTTCTGGTGGTGGAGTTTCCACTTCCATTTTCTCTTCAATTCCATTGTCTAGTGTTGTATTTTCATTTTCCTTTTCCTCCTCCTCTTCCTCTTCGACCTGCAATGCATCTTGGGATAGTTCATCTTCCAAGGTTTTCTACGCAAAAGAGAAGCAAGCAATCAATATCACTCAATTAAAACCTCAATAGCATATTTTCCATGACTAAGCAATCAGACTGTCATGAAAACTAAAAAAATATTAAAATTACTATCATCAATGATTTTTTTCAAGAAATATTGTTATTATGCATCATCTAGCTTGGGTTAGAATAGTTAACCAGAAAAACCAGTCACTTCAGTTGAAGTGAGGTTCTGGGTGTCTTACCTGTTTATCTTTCAAATCATTGATCTTTTTTCTCAACTTCAGAAATTTCTTTATCAACCTTCTCCATTTGTTTCAACAACTCATCAGACCTTTTCTTTTGATCTACCTCTTCCATTGGTTCAACACTTGCTTTCTCAACCTCAGCTTCTGAAAATGATACACAAAATCAGATCATCCATTAATTTATGAAGTTATTTCTTGCATATATTAGTCTCAATATTTCAAACGGCCACATAACAGCAGCATATTTCATGCAACTAACTGACAAAAAGAATACTAGAACTCACCAGAGTTAGTTGGTGAAACAGCTTCAACTTTTGGCTGGTAAACTTCTTCCTAATCAGAGAAGAAATTAAAACAAATTACTTAAGTTCTGCCCATAATTTAGTTAAGATTTTCTCCTGTATTAACTTATTCATAAGAATGACACTCTCTTT